CTATTGAATCGCCGCGTGCGAGCTGTCGCTCAGGATGACGAGGAGCTCTTTTCTGACCAGTCTGGATCGGAGCAGGCTAGCGACGATCTCCGCTCTGACGAGTCGGGCTCAGAGAGTGGCAGTGATGGTTCCCTAGACGAGGACGACGAAGACGATATGGTTGGTTCCCTATTCTTTGGATAGACGTCGCGACATGCTGACTATTTCGCAGTCTCAGGTCGGCCCGGAAGATATGGATGATGACGAGGACGACGACGAAGATGACGAAGACGACAGCGACGATCCCCAAGACGACGTTCAAGCCTCACTAAGCAGCATCTCATTCGGCGCATTGGCGAAAGCACAAGCATCCATAGGCCCCAAATCGAAGCGGTCATCCAAGGCCTCCAAGACAGAAGAGGACCCTGCCGCTCCTTCCCCCTTAGATGATATTCGGGCGCGGATTCAAGAGGCGCGCGAACAAAAACGTCAAGCGCTGTCGAAAACCAAGGACTCTGAAAAGCATTCCCGTTCCTCCAAACATGCGCCGGCCGTACAATCCTCCAAACATGCCGTCTCCCGCAAACGGACAATCATTGAGCCGCCGAGTGTGCCCAAGTCGCGAGACCCCCGGTTTGATCCGACTGTATTGAGCCAGGGTGGCCGCGGAAACCCTCAGGCAGCGAGTAACGCATATGCATTCTTGGACGAGTATCGCCGGGATGAGCTCAAGCAGTTGAAGGAACAATATGCCAAGACAAAGAACCAGGAACAGAAAGAAGCTCTGAAGCGTACGATTCGGTCGACTCAAGACCGTCTTCGAGCAATGGAGAACAGGAAACGCGAGAAGGAGGTCTTAGCGGAGCATAAGAAGAAGGAGAAGCAGCTCATCCGTGAAGGAAAGAAGAGCAACCCGTACTTCTTGAAGAAGTCGGACCTGAAGAAGCAGGTGCTGCTCAAGAAGTACGAGAATATGAACTCCAAGGACCGCATCAAGGCACTCGAAAGAAAGCGCAAGAAGACTGCAGCCAAGGAGAGAAAGGAGATGCCCATGGAGCGGAGAGCCTTGGCTGGTGACGATGCGCCGAGTGGCGGTGGAGGTGGTGGTGGTGGTGGTGGCTGGAAACGCCGCCGAGTTGCATAGATGCTGGAGCTTGTCTGATCCTGATGCCTGGCCCATCATATTGTATATAGTTCACAACTGCATAGGCATATATTTTCTACAATATTCATTTCAGAACATCGTTTCCACGCCGACAGTCCGGGAGTGTTTATATAGACACCGTATTACTTATCATTATCCAAATCCGACCTTGTCCTTCCAGGCGTAGTTGCAGCTTAGTCAGAGAGAAAAGAAGAATGAAAAACATATTATCACTGCCAAATGGCGAACAACCAACATCCAATAACTATTGCTGTACCAAGATAATCAGACGCGTAAGCACAAACAAACAATCAAATGGTATCGCAACAAGCCATAAGTCAATGACGCAAGGATCACCGAAATCTGAGGTCCTCGAAACAATATAGACATGGTTCTTCGAAGAACATGATCTTTAGACCCATAACAAAATAACGCCTCATGTCCAGAACAAAGCAAGTTCCCCTCGAGGGGACCTTCGGAGAAAAAGGGCAATAATAGAGAAGAAACTGAATAATGATCGAATAGAAATAAACACTGGAATCAGTGGCAAACAATGGAGGCGTCTGGCCTAACATGGTATAAGATGCAAAAAGGGTAAAAGGGATGAGATTGAAGGGACGGGATCCACCCTTCCGTTCTTTTTCAAAGAGCGACTGTTCATGCGGTTCATATAGGTAGTCGTGTAATTTGGCATATGCATCATGTCTAGAATAAATACTATTCTTCAGACACACTCCCTTCACACGTAAAGATCTGCTGTTTTTGTGGGCCCGCAGTTCAGCCGGGGGTGATTGCTCCCAAATAAGCACCTTCTGCTGGGTCATGCCTATCCATAATTTCTCAAGTACTGACCACACCGGATAGCGCATGAGGGAAGATTGGCGGTATTTGAGAGTAAATTCATAGCGATGGGCCAAATCAGATCGCATAGGGAGAACCTAAGCAATTGGTCATGGATTAAGAATGGAATAGGTCCCAGGCACGTGCACAGAGACTAAGGAATTCTTCCTTCTTTCTGCGCTGGGTCTCGGGCGAGTCTCTCCCAGCCCCAAATGGGCCATAGGTGGCACTTGCACCAGAGGCCAAGGCTGGGTTAGGGCGATAATGTGGGTCGGGGCCGTGGCCCAAGGGCGGGCTGCCGTGCTCATGTTCGTACTCGTTTCTCGAGCGGCGCCGGGCAGTACCCTCGGATGGGTACAAGGACGGCTGCGGGGGGTGCGCGTTCGCCATGGGCGTAGCATCCGAGTGAGGCACTCCAGACTTTGGTGGTCCGTTAGCCACACGGGGAGATGGTGGAGTCGGGGGTTGGTGGCCGCCGTAATGTACAATGCGCGGCAGAAGCTCCTCGCGCCCACCTGACAGTTCCTGGACAGCTTCCTCGGCGGACCGGTACTCCCTGGGGCGCTTGGGAGGTTGAGCGGCATCCCGGGAGATGCGAGGGGAGGGAATTGGGGGAAGATTGTTCGATTGAGGCGGGTTTGCAGCTGTCGCGCTGGGGTAATATAGTCCCCGGTTTGCCTCGCGATCGCGGCCCAACGCCTCATTTCCAAAGACGTCAGAGAGCGGGGGCAAGCGATTGGTTGTTTGCGTAGCAGGGAGGTGATGGATGTGAGATGTGGACCCCAAAGTCGGGCTTTGGTTAACAACATGACGGGTTAAGGGCTGCGCTTCGTTTCGGCCCGTGAAGGTCTGATTCAATGGCGCAGATTGGATGACACGTTCACTGGCAAATTGGGCTGCGGAAGGAGGCACGATGGAGAGGCCAGGCGGGGGTCTTCTCTTCGAGGCACCGACCCGGGGGAGGCCGAACGATTCAGATGGCTTGATTCCATCGGGCCCGTCATCCTTGGCGGACTTCTGTAAACGCGATTCGATTATTGAGCGCTGCTGATCCCGAACCGATAAGCTCCGCTGCAGCTGCTCCCTCATCACAGGGTCATGTGTTTGAAATCCCGGGGACAGGCAAGCGATCCCGACCTCTTGCATGTTGACACCCTCTCTCGCAGTCATAGGGCCGCCAGGAGGCCGTGCGGACAAGCCCCCCGAGGTCGGAAGGCTACTGGAAAGGTCTAATCTGCGAGGGCGAGGTCTAGTATGAGACTGCATTGCCGGGGAGGACGGAGGTTCCTTTTTCACGATAACTCGACTCGCAGTGGATCCGGCCTGTGATCTGTTGAAAGGTCAACAATCTGCATCGGCGAATCAGCCAGCGACTGTCGGGTAAGACACTTACGAAGGCGAGGTCGGTTTCTTTCCTGCAGGCGAGCTTTTGGCCGACGACACATCCCGAGAGACACCGGATGGGCGGGGCGGCGTGGTACTCGTCTGGTTACCTGAAGATGCAGGCGCCAGTGTTGGGCAATTTTTCGGACTGATATCGCGGGTCATACGCGGAGACGTGAGCGGAGCAGCCTGGGCAGGCGCAACCGCGGTCGACATAATGACAACGAAGGGTGACGAATTCGACAGGACACAAAGGAGCGGGAAACTCCTTGGCGAAAGCACACAGCTGACCAGGGGAAGCAGTCGAATCAAAGGGACGGTGCAGCCGTCAAACCGATATAGGCTGGCGAAAGAGAAAAAGACAAGAAAAATTGCCCCTCGGGAGCTGTCTCACACAGCCACCGACTATATAACGTGTTCCTGTACGGTGCTAAGAACTGTGCCACCCAACGTCTCACAGCCTGGAGCAGGTGGAGTATCAAGCTTTCTCTATCAAGCGCTGGAATTATGAGGTGGTAGGGCGAGATCGGATGAAAGCGCGCGCGGAAATGGAGCTCGGTAGCGGAGGCGGCTAATATTGGTCTTCGGGGGGAGGCGATGTCGAGGTTGAGCTCTGGAATGGGGGCGGAAGCAGCTTTCAAAAGACCGACGGATCCAGCCCGAACAATGAAAAGGCACGGAGGACGGAGGGGGAGAAGGAGGAAGAGATCAACGTTCAATGTGGCACCCCAGGAAAGAAGTCGTCAAACAGGTGGTGGGAGGTGACAACGACGGGGACTGGTCAGATACTTGAGGGAGGCGGTTAGCTAAGGTTGGCCGGCGGCAGTGTGACAACGGTTAGAGGTCGGTCAGGCCGGGGGGTGGTGATCCAGAGCGACAAAGCGATAGTGTGTGGTAGAAGCGGATCTCGACAGGTCTGGCCCCCATGCGAGGTAGGTAAATGGCCCGAGAAGAAGGAGGGGAAGGATGGAAGGAGGGGGGATATCACGATGATGCCGATATAATAACGATTTTCAAGGAAGAAATGAGGAAGAAAACAATAGGAAGCTAACAAGAAGTAGAGAGAAGGAAGAACAGGTAGAGAGAGAGGGAAAGTAGAAAAAGCAAAAATAACAGTAAAAGGCAAAAATGAGGAAGAGGGGAAGAGGAAGGAAGAAAAGAAGGCTGAGAAGACCAAACCCGAGCGAGGGAGGATAAATTGTATGGATGATGGAGAAGAAGAAGCAGAAGGTGGACTAACTAGTAACTAAGGTAGGTATTAGTTGGGAGGGCGGTATGGGGCAAAGTTGTCTGGTATGGAAGCGGGATGGATGGATCGGGGGAGGGCGAAGGGAAATCCAACAGGTCGATTCAATCTCGATGAGACGGTGGCAGAAGAGGGTTGGCACTAGTAGCCAGAACGATGAAAGGGCTATCAGTTGGACCGTGCCATTCAATCCGAACACGCGGCAAGGTTGGAGCCAGGAAATTATGATTGAGAATAAGCGAAATAAAAATAAAGGGAAAAAGGGAAAAAAAAGAAATGAGAAACACGGAAAAATAGAAGAGAGAAAGAAAGAAACCTAAAACCCAGGACGGAGAACAGGCGAGAAACGAGCAGGAGAAATAATCATCATCAAACGGGGGAGTGGGAATTAATTGGGCTGCAATGGAGGCGACCAAGACCTTGAATGAATGGATGTGGGGAAGAAGACGAGACTTGGACTTACTTTACTAGAATTATCATAATAATAATAATAATAGTCAAAAAGAAATAGAAAAAGAAAAATATGGAAAAGTATTAATTAAAAAATAAAAAAATAAATAAAAAAAAGAAGAAGAAGAAGAGTATAATGGGTACGATATCAAGAACCAGAAGAGATCCTGGTCGCTAGGAGCTTTAGGGACTCTTAGTTCGAAACCACTGAAGGAGAAAGAAAGAGAGAACATGCAACAAGCAGGTTGAAAGAATACCTACTAATCTACGGAGTACCTGAAAAAGGAAGGTGAACACCTGAATGATCTCTCCTAATGCGAATATAATATAACAACGGAAAATAATAATAAGAATAATAATGAAGAATTATCTAGTGTACAAGAAACACAAGACAGACAGAACAGACAAGAAGAGAAAAATAGGAAACCGGACTGGGATCCATCCCAATAATCTCCTGAAAATGCTCAGACCAAGTGGAGCAGGATTCCCACTTGATTGGCACCAGCTGAGACATGGTTTGTTTCCGCCCAGGGCTTGTCCGCCGATGATGTGACACTTTTGTGACAATTGGCGGTTGCTGCTGATCGCCTCGGGTTCACATCGGTTGGACTGTACTCTGTAGTACCACACACCTCTTTCTTTTTCTCCTACCTAGTACTCTCTTGTGTCTTGTCATCGGGCTGGCATGATAAGATGACACCTGGGAGTATTCATCTCACTTTTCTGGTCTAATGAATGTATCTGTAGTCTTCACCCTAGGTTTTCCTTAAAACCAAACCCTGGCCTACTCTCCCTGGTCATTTTTTTTAAATCTTTTTTCCCTTCCCTGTCTATACGTATTCAGGCAATATACTATCATGTGTTAGGAGGATAGTAGAGGAGGGAGGGGAGAGAGGGGGGAAACAAGAAAGAACAGAAGATTACTTTGAAGAGTCCAGACACGCACCAGACAAAGGTACAACTTAACCAGTTTAGTTCGTCTCTTGGCCCGACCATCGTGTTCCATCCAACTGAAGACAAGGTAGGGGCTCTTCCCTGCGACCCATCCGGGATCCGGCCTATGGAGATCCAGGAACTGCCGCTGGCCTGTGAGACAGCTGGAACATTTGGGAATTCCCGAGCCAGTCACCTGCTAGGAATTTTGCACTCGTTTTGAGAGTGTAGCAGATGGCACAAGATGATTCTTCCATGTTCATTCTCATCGCTACCTTCTTTTCTCTCCTACTAAATACTATATTCTTGCGCGAGGGAAAGTGGTGAATATGACAGCCTTGTTCTGTAGTGGAGGGTACAGTAGTGGATGACTGACACACAGCCATCCATCCATCCATCCCGTGCCAACAAACTATCGTGTCGGCGTCCGACGCAGGGTGGATAAAATTGGGGGAAAGGAAAAGAGAGCCTGGTTTGGTTCCTTCCCCCCTGGTGGCGACGCACCTGCGACACCAGCGTCCCTCACCATCCCCGAATCCACCGGCGCCAAACTGGTGGAAACAATAGTCCCTGCCCCGATCCATGAATCCACTCTTCTGTCAGACATAATACTAGTAATCCTGTTAACTCACTAACCACAGTTTCGCTTCTCGTTTCCACCCCTCCGACTTACCCACTTTCTCCCCCCTCCTCTCCTCTTAGACTAGCCTGCAGTCAGCAACAGCCTCTGTCTCTATTGGGGGCTTGACAAATTAATCCGAAAAGTTGACATCTCACATTTCCCCACGTTCCTCTCTCTCTCTCTCTCTCTCTCTGCGCTCGCTAGTAAGGAAAGAAATAGATGAATTCTTGGTAACTAATGATATGATAAGCAAAAAGAAGAAACAAGGTAGGCAACCAGGTCTTTTACAGATGTCTCGATCGATCATCCCGCGGCACAGTCCGACGACGACGGCGATGACGATCGGCCCTCGTTCTCGTTGAGAGTGTCGCGTTGTGACATGCCCGAGACGAGCCAACAGTCGCATGAACGGATGAATAGTTTCGTCAAATGCTCCAGACCGGGAAGACCAACTGTTTGGGTAGGAGAAATAAGAAAAGGTATAATAATAACGATAATTATCATCATATTACTCTAACAACAACAGCAGCAGCAGCAGCAGCAACAATAACAATAACACATAACACATTACATGATAATCAGATCGTCATGTCTGACTACATTGTGAACTGCACTCACTCAGTTCTGCCCCCAACAAAAAGTAACTTCTACAATATGAGTAAGACTAAGATGATCCGACACGGGCTTCTTTCTACTATTATCGCAGCCTCTTCTTCCATCAGGGCCGGGATCTCCGCGCCCAGCCGGAGCAATCCACCGGGAATCAGTTGACTTTTCCTCGGTCGCTACTCCCAGATAGGTAGGAGTAACGATACTCCAACTGTAGATACTGTACTCTGTATGTAGGGTAGAGAGAGAAGTGGATAAAAAAACACCTACCTACTACACCTACCTTGCTCACCCGCACACATCCGCCTCGAAAGGTAAAATTCTAGACATGATCGCCCGGCACTGCTTACCTTGCGACATCCTAGGGGCCCGAGCCACCGCACTACTGTAAGGCAGAATTTTTCCCATACCTTCCATTCGACTTTTCGTGGTCAATTCCGCAGGCCCATTTCAAGCACAGCACATGAACCTGCGAGCGAACTATTGGGAAACAATGAAGATCGACTTTCTTTCCCAACCTAGCCCGCGCCCCTTCGATCACGGGCTGGGGCGGAAATGAGAATCTCTCTCTCTCTCAGACGATTAGCTCGCTTCCTGCGACAACACTATTGTCTCAATCAGATTTGCAGTGCAGGATGGACAGACAGGGCCCGCGGAGTAATTCTGAACAGTTAGATAATAGGTGAGTTAGCTAGTTAACCTTACCTTGATAGCCGAGATGCCGTACCGGTGTAACAGTAGCAGCAGCAACTGTTGGGGATGGTTTGAATCCCGGCCCTCGTGCAACCAAAACCCAAGCCTCCGGCCCTTTTTTGCTCGAGTCAGACAAGCAGCTTTGACTCAAACAAGGCCTCAATGCAAAACATGGGACCTGTCAAACTTTTTTATTCTGCTGAGTCAAACTTAATTAACTTGCTGTCTTCCAAATCAGACCTACTATCCAAGCCAATCAATCAATCATCCACCAGTAGCAAGAAGCAAGCCACATCCATTCTTCTAGGTAGTAGTGATCTAGCCCAATGCGTATACACCGACCTTCTTAATATCGATTCCCAATACATTCACAAGAGTCAAAACTAACGCGCGGAACCACTTCCCGACAGACTGGTGGGTAGGAAAAAAGAGTTCGGTCACTCCTCATGAAGGTTTAGTAAAAGTCAAAGCATGCAGAGGGCTCCATCTTGTATCGACTTCCTGGGATATTAGCATTTCAATCCCTGCTACAGTTGCAGTGCTGATAATTTGCAGGTACGAACACACTACACAGTACTCCGATCCAATGCGTGGCCTGCTTACACGGCTGGGTGGGATGTGGATCTGACAAATTTATTTGCAGCAGTACTCGCTGATGGCTTAGTAGATAGTATGTATGTATCAATTCTCAACAACTCGTTCCAAGGTACCGATGATGGGAGTTGACATTATGGATTAAGTACTTCCACGAATACTTACAGACCTTCCTATTTAAGGCCCGAAATCATCTGCGGATAAACCCGTTTTGCGAGAGCCAATCATCAGGGCCGATCTCTTCTCCCCTCATTTCCCACTCCACGAGGTAAAGTCATTTTTAATATCAAACGGGACCGCCTCATTAACCCGGGGATCAAGACTAGTTAGTTAGTGAGATCCGGCTTACTACTAGATACTTAGTAGTTAGATACTACTAATTAAATCACTGGGGAAAAGTGAGTAGTCGGTATACCAGCTAACTGCCTAGCTGACAAGCAATGCCTACAACTATGTAGATGAAAGTACAGTGAAATCTCTATGGTGCAATGTGTTTGAAAAACAATACAAAGTCAGCACCCTCGCATGGAAACCACATCTCTTATTTTTACTTTAACTCGTTAGTCTACTTTGGTATAAGTTCCATGTTCCAACCTCGGCCTGGCGGGCCCACGTGTGCTCCTTGCAAATAAGATTAAGGAACGGCCTTGCCATCCAGTCTTGATGAACCACTAGTTTATGGGTCCGGCCTTGCCGTCTCCAGAAATGAAGACTTGCTTGAAGTGGTACCATGGATTGTCATATCACAAGGGTCTACCAACTCAACATGTTCATGTTCAACCTGCTGAAAGATTTTATTATTTCCAGGAGGGTCGGTGTATTCGATCGTTGTGGCTTGCTCGGCAAGCTGAGATCCCGATTTCGTGGATACTAACTATGTATGTATATATCATGGACACGGTGTGGATACTATGTATATTGTTTCTCTCCCACCGGAAGAGTACGAGATAGATTATCGCGTGTGGTCACTCGAAACGAGAACCACCCATTTATCTTTCCGTAGTACTACTACTCACGGGAGTTCCTCTATGAACCGTGCCCTGCCCTGCATATACGAAATGAGCGTTTTTTGAACAATACTCCATGTGCAAGGAAGGGATTGTTCGAGGATTAACCGACCCGGTAAGTAAAGTAGTATACTCCATCTTCAATATACACAGTACAACATCCCGCCGATAGTAGATGTCTCCAACTATGGAGTACTTACTTAGTACGGAGCAGACACTCCTACTATTAGCTAAGGAGTAAATAGACACTCGGCAAACAGAAGTATCCGACTCTCCTAATCAGCATTAAATCAAGAACTTCCCGTACGCGCCATCCATTTCGTCACTCATCTATCACGACATAATCCACAACAACCAAGTAACAACTGACGACTCCGAGTCCGAATCCGAACATAGTACTTACTATACACTATCAACATACCAATCTATCTACGCATTACCTAACAACCGAAGCTCCATACCTGCAGTAGCGAATCCAGCTATCTACACTGCCAAGGCAATAGTTTAATATCCAAGTATGATTACTCCCCGAAATCTGAATGGTTGCGTCGTCACGTTATCAAACTGTGTGTCATAAACACACGGTCGGTGTTGACAGATTGACAGATTGATTGATTTATTTAAAATTGCCAGATGGCAATAATAATAATAATAACAATAATAAAATGAACATTAGCACCCCGTGTTAAGCCTTCCTCAAGCCCGGGTCTAGTCTCAACGGCGTTGCCTCTGCACGGCCCTCTGTTGCTAATATTGGTTCTTCCATGTGGAAAGAAAAGAAAGAGTGGGCGTGCACCACTGCCCCCCTCTCCCCAAAGGCAAGCGATATAGCATCTGGTCGATCGCAATAAGCCTTTGTCAATAATAGTAGCAATTAAACTAGGAAGTGGTTGTCAGTGTGTGTGTTTTGCAGGTACGTAGCCTGGTCCCGGTCGCGTAGAATATTTAGTTTTTTTTTTACTTGGCTACTACGGAGGATTAACGTATTACTCCTATGTGCTAACGGACTGAACTATTGATTGGAGAGAATTAAGAATAATTACACCGTATCCCCGATAGTAGTACTACTACTACTACTACTTTAGTGATTGAGTTTATGTAGGTGACAGCGTTGCACTAAAATATTCCCTGGTGCGGACATTAATTGCTCTTCATCTGCCCCATGGCATACATATTTATAGAACTCAACGATAGCCAAAGTTGAACCCAGCTCTCCGGAGCATTCTATCTCCTCCGTACCAACACGAACCAAGTCATTCAGAAAATAAGACCGATCTAATAATACTACTACTGTAATGTCCAGCGACATAAGACTCATCTCCAGTAAGGATTAGTCAAATAGTCGCCTACTCGGTCGGTAACCTGCAGTATCCATCCATCCGGGAAAAAAAACCACAGTAGCACCACACCGGCACTACTCTGTAGCTGCTATGCAAGCAACGCTCAATTCTGCAAAGAAAAATGACAAGCGACGGAGAGAAGAAAGAGGGGAGGGGGGAATAACATCAAGCCACAGTTGCACAAGGGTATGCATAGTGGTAGATCATACCGTGTGCCCGATGTTTGACACAATCCGGATTGCTATATTTAAGCAGATGATTTGAAGTACGTAACCTGACAACGACTTGAGTAGAAGCTAACTACTGATACTACTTCGTACCCAGTGTCACACACGGCCGAGTAAGAGCGTTCGTTCACGCAGTGTACGGCGTATATGTACGTATCCTGCCGTTGGATATAAGTCATGCAGAGTGCTTGAATAGAATATGCTGTGCGTAAGCTTCTGCTACAGACTAGTTAGCTTGCAACACTTTACAAAAGATAGGTCATTTATGAGTAGCACTCGTCGTGAAGATGTAGTTTTCAATAGAATCCCAATCAAAGGCAAAATATACATCGCAGCAGCAGCAGCATACTTCAAATAATGGCAGGCGGTAAGGATATGCCCTCCTCCTCCGAAGGCGGTGAGATATCGATAAACCGTTTTTCGCATTTTTCTCCTCATGAGTAATTGAGCATCTGGTGATTTGCGAAACTTGACGCATACGACTCATTTGATTTCCTATTCGCATTTACCTGTGAATATACTATCCTCTGGACTCTGTTCCTCTAAGATATTCCGCATTCGCGACTCGCGTGTCCCGCCACTAAGTACTTCTCTCCTCCGCTCTACCCTCAAAGAATCACCACCACCACCACCACCTACCCCCTCAGTTTACACCTCGAACGAACGAAAACATACCAGACAATGCGCTAACCAGATCCGCAGGATCAATACCTCAAACCTCTCTACAATTCCATTCATAATGCCCGCCTCCGTCCACTCCGAAGAACAAGACCAGTCCATGCTGGACGCCTCCGCGCCCCAGGAAGAGCAGACCGACGTCCTCGAGCTAGACGAGAAGCGTATTGTTGTTGTACGTGTACATTTCATACACTGTTAATATGAATAACTCCCGACCATATGCTAAACATCTAATGAATGGGATGATAGTTGCCCGGCTCGTCCGACACCGCAGCTTCGTTCCAATTCGAGGGAGAGGGTCACACTCTGGGTAATGCGCTGCGATATGCGATTATGAAGAAGTGCGTACACATGCATCTGCATTACTGCACCAGCTATGTTGGATCTTGCTAACGGGGTGGTTTCCTTGGCTACAGCCCCGAAGTCGAATTCTGCGGTTACACTATCCCCCATCCTTCTGAGACGAAGATGAATCTTCGGATTCAGACCTATGGTTAGTTTCCCCCCTTCCCTTCCCTTCCCTTCCCTTTCCTCCCATAAGGTTGAGATAGAATGAAGCTGACTGCAATTGTTGACAGAAACAACCACCGCCGTCGAAGCCCTCGAAAAAGGTCTCGACACTCTAATGGACCTCTGTGATGTCGTTACGGATAAGTTCACGACTGCCCGGGATGACTTTAATGCTGCACAGGCGGATCGCATGGAGGCTTAGGCATATACCTCTTTTTTATATACATATTATAGACTTCTGGGTGGTTTTTGGCTTGTGATTTGTATGTGTGTGTTGTGTTATGTCTTGCTATTTGATGGGATTGATGGCGTTGTGTGTGTAGAAAAGTTATACCTTTTCCTTCTTTTTTTATCTACTTTACTTATCTTTATTCTTTGGGGGTGGTTAGGTGGGGTGTATTGGTTGGTTGGTTGGGTAAGATGCATGGGTTTTGAGGGGGATGGATGGAGTGAGGGATACCATAGCATCATCTACTACAGTACTACTATATGCTCATATATATGTGGGTTGGTTATGTGGTCTGGGCTCTGTTGATACTTGCTCGTGTTAAACCTTTAAGGATGTATTCGTCGGCTGTTCGTATCAAGCAGTCTAAAAACCTCCAGTAGTATCTTTCTCATACGGACCGCAAGCCATTCAACTACAGTCTACATGCTTACTACACAAGCAACCTCGAGTAAATCAACAACCGAAAAATCATGTAGTCAGACAATATTTACATAACACTCACACACACTCTATCAGCGTTCGCAGCCGTCAGAGAACTTTCAATGCTAAGGGATACCAGGAGTATAAAGGAGATAAGTAAGAGATGATGGTGGGTGATAATAATTTCACAATTTCAATTGCGGCCTTCCAAGAAGCCCGAGATGAAGTTGGGAGGTAGCCGAGCACCGGGGTCCTCCTCGGGGCGGAAGTACTTCATCACATGCGACAGCTGCTTCCAGTAGTTGAGGGTTTCCTATTGATATTGGTCAGTAACACATTCTCCATACCGTAATATGTGAAACTCAATTGGTCGATGTAGATTGTATCGATGGCAGCAATTGAGCATCGCTAGGCTGCCCAATTCTCATAACTCACCTGGAACTCAGCGTGGCTCTGGTACAACAGCACATCAACAACGTTCAGCTGGTTGACGTAGCGGTGCTTCTCGAATTCCTGGCGGATCTTCGTACGGATAGCGGAGACGGGGAGGTTCAGAGAGTACATAGTCTGAATCTCGGGGGACTATATTATCGCAATTGAATGGACTCATGTTAGTCTGGATGTTTCTCGTAGAATAATAATTATCCACTTTGGGGTCTTGAGCCCGTCGCAGGGTCTGTTTGGTAGACGCGGAGGGTCGACGGACGACCACACCGGGAACGCCAGGCCATTGATGAACGGGAATAGGTGATGGAGCATAGGTATTATCGAGTATAAGGATCACTGACCGCTCTAAGCCATTCTCTGTAAGACTTGAGGACACGGTGCTTCGCATCACCCCAGTTGGCAGCTACACAAGGCGAGAAAAGGTCAGCTCGGGATTCCGGCCATTGACGTCGCGGCAATTTCTAAAGGGTCGGACTTGGTCGGGACAACCGAGTCCTGGGAGGTAGGGGAAAACGTACAGGAGCGCGTGCGCTGAGCAAGGAAGGTCGGGTTGATGGTCATCTTGAATAGTGGCCTAGTGGTGAGGCTCGACAATGGCACACTTAGGAAGAGAGGGGAGAGAAAGACGACGGTGGGGGGGAGGGAGAGCGAATGGGGAAAAGGAAGGGAAGTTCGACGGACCAACCTTAAGGTGACGATGCGAGGAGATCGAAGTGGTGGAGGTCCTGCACTTCCCGGGTTGCGGCTCACCGCCTGCCTGTTTCAAAAAATTTCTCTTTCGGAGGCGTGATCTTGGAGGGTCCGGGGCTTCGTTTGTTCCAATTCTTTTCTTCGGCTTGGATTCGGTTTATTTACTTTGGTTTTGGGTATATCTGAGGTCCGTGATTTTTGTGCTATTTAGACGACTGGATTTTTGTGGCTGGTTCTCCCGCTCCCCCACCATCGCAGGCGACAATCCAGATTTTCTTGTCTCCCTCTTTCGATACTCTCCATATCATCAATCCCGACACGCAGACTTGAACCGAAGCAATGGCGCCGACTAAGGGCCCCGCCGCTGGCAAGGCCTCGAACAAGAGCGACGGAAAGAAGAGCAAGCCCCTCTCGTCCGCATCGAAAGTGAACAAGAAAGGCGCCAAGCGCCCGCCGCCCAAGGAAGTCAAGGCGAAGGCGCGCACGGAGTCTAGTCTGTTGAAGAAGACGAAGAAGAGAGAATATACCGAGGAGGAACTGGGACTGCCCAAGCTGAATGCGATCACCCCCGTTGGTGTGGTGAAGCCCAAGGGCAAGAAGAAGGGCAAGACTTTCGTTGACGATGCGGTACGTATTCCATCTCATTTCTAGGCCGTTGTATGATTGTCGCATTGACTAACGATGTTGCGATAGGAGGGAATGATGACAATCCTCGCCATGGTCAATGCCGAGAAGGAAGGACAGATCGAATCCAAGATGATGAAGGCTCGTCAGTTGGAGGAGATCCGTGAGGCTAAGAGAAAGGAGGCAGAGGCTAGACAGGCGCAGAAGAAGTCTAAGCTGGTGCGTATATATGCCTATGATTTCCCGGTTGTCCTGTTGAAGGACTTTTATGATTCAAGGGTTGCTAACTGGTTTGATCCGAACAGGAGGAAGCGAAGCAGTCTATTCGCCAAAAACGCAAGCACAAGGGTGGCTCCAGCGAGACAAAGGATGAAGCACCCAGCAGGGAGTCGTCTTCAAAGTCAAAAGGAAAGAAGAAGAGTGTTGCGTTTGCTTGAAATTCTATGTACAAAAGTAATTCTGTCTATACCGGGTCTATGTAGTTAGATGGGTTTCTGGCGTTATACTGGTCTATGTCTTCCGAAACAATGGCGTGCATGACACATGATGAGCATCTCTCCAATTGAAGCACTGATCCTATCAATGGGACCAGTTCGGTTATGCAATATTTGTTGACTAGGGCCTGATTTGCAGGTCGAGCTTGCGTTGCGCAGGAATGAATCTCGGCTTTGGTGCCGTATCTGCGTCCTTTTCGGGACCCGTATGGTGGGCAAGATGACCGGGAATCTTCTCGGGATCCTCAACCTTGAACGGCACGGTAAGGTCGACCTCCTTCGCCATGAGGTTCAGGAAATTGGCCACCTGAAACAGTTAGAGGTAGATAGACAACTGGCAGGTAGCATTCACATACCGGTTTCACAAACCACCTCCCACCTCCAAGCTCAAACCAGCCAAGATGTCCACCCCAAGAGGTAGTCATCATCACGCCGTACGGGGTTTGCGTCATCTCCTGGAATGGCAGTGCGGCAGCACAGGCAATCTGCTATCGGTTAGTATACGGAAATTCACGTCTGAGAACCTGGACTCACCGGATCGTCTTCGGCTTGTATAACAAAGAATGGAATACGAATACCCAGCATAGCATCGGTAGAAGAAGCATCGCGATAGTATGCTCCTTCAGTAGGGTAGCCCCACGACGCACATTGCAAAGCCCTATTCGTGTCTAACGTTAGAACCATGCAGACGCAAATATGCTTGTAGTGATTCTTACCGGTCGAACTCATGCAAATAAGTGATATTCCTCACCTCGTCAACGTCGATTCGCGGGTTCTTGGAGACCTGCTCCACGTGACTGATGGTCTCGAGTCAGATGCAGAAAAACCAATGATTAGATGGATTTCACCTACCGTTCGAACAGATCCTTCATGCTCGTACCCATTACTTTACTATAGACCTCGCGACCAATCAAGGTGCTTTGCAGATTTAGGGAGCCAATTTCGAGGTTCCAAGGGCTAGCACAGAGTACCGCGGCCTTCAACTCGCAGGCATCGCCCTCCTCACCCAAGTACTGCGATCACGTCAGTCAATCCTAGTCACTTGTGCCTGACATAGACTTACATTAGCCAGAATGTTCGCGCCGAGCGAGAAACCAATTCCAAACAAGGGGCGATTCGGAAAAGTCTTCCGTAGCCATTTGACAGCCTGACGAATGTCCCAGGTAGCACGAGCATTGTAAAGCACACCAGTCGTAATCTTGGTTTGCGAGCAGCCTCTGGAGTTGACGACACAAGCTTCCCAGGTCTCATCCTTGATAAGAGGTGCAATCACATGGCGCAGATAAAGTTCATGTGATCCGCCGCTTAGGCCATGGAGAACCACGAGCATAGGCTTGGTGTCGTCCGAGGGAAGCGCAGCAAATTCATCTTCCGAGAAGAATGACGTCCGTTCGGGTAGCCCTGACGGCTGAGTATATTTCCTCTCGCTATCAGTCGCATGAGCGTCGCTGGGCGGCTCATACGGATCTACCACGAAGTCTATCGCAAAGTGCCCAGACAACATCGGGTTCTCAGCCTCGAACATCCAGCGCTTGTAGTGTACCGGAACATTATCAAACTTCGCGGTCGTCCAGGCAGTCTGAAGATGACCATTGAAAAGGAAGGGGTTCAGCTGGCACGTCTTCGGAGTGGCAGTGCGACACAGGTCTGCCAGAGTCACTTGCGCCTGGGATCTAGACTTTCCCGCCTTTGTGGCCAGTAAGAGATTATTATCTTTCGCATGATAGTATGTGATCCGGCCATTAGGGCGGATCCATGAGAGCAGGCCCATTCCCAGCAGGCCCGCCACAAGAAGCGGTATGGAGAATGTGCTTAGTAGGCTGAGGGGGGTGTCAACGAATGACATGAAGAACCGGATCTGGATGAAGTGCAACGCCAAAAAAAGAAGATTCTAAAGAACATGCACTAGATAGCACGCTATAATTACCTGCAGGTCTAAAAAGGGGAAACGGGAACCACAGGCGACACCGAGCACTTGAAAGATGGGATGGAAAAAGACCCATCGATCTTGATTAATGCCTCGGCTTGATTGCCTCATCCAGTAAGGCTCATCTGATGTGCTTATCGGGACAGGACCTTATCGTTATCGCGCCGATCAGTCAGCAGTACTGAATGACTCAGCGGGGAGGATCATGAGGCACCCTCCACAAGATGAACACCCTCCCAGATCTCGACGTCACTTGATGTTGCATCTGTTATCCCCCATCTCATCGTGATGTCCCGGAAAACGGTGTCGCAACAGACTGCTGAATTTTTAGAAGCATGAACATTCTTCAAGGGTGGGTTTGCGGGTCGCTGCAAGATCGATGCGGTAAACACAGGCCCGGATGCGGAAGCTCAGTGTAGGCCTTGATCCGATAGCATCATAGACTTCCTTAGCCGTTCCCCAGTCGGGCGAAACCCTTCCTACGGACTGATACGATAGCAGTCTAGATCCATAGACTGTTTGGATACAGTCGCCAATAAGAAGCTTGATCAAACAATCGGCCTTTTGCTCTTTGGTCCAACGGAAAGACCCATTCTGTTGTATGTAATTCTGACGGCCTCTACTACGCTGTGACCCCGGCGCGTGCTCCGTTTGCGTGCGAATCTACAACCTTTGCGAAGGTTACTTCTTGAAGGTCAAAAGGCCCTCTCTCCCGTCTTTCTCTTGACCACTTATTTTTGTCATGTGGCTCGCTTTCCTTTATATTTTCTAGGACACCATGATGCCCCGAACCCAGCAGAAAACGGGCTGGTACTCTCTCATCTTCTGAGTCCTTGTTGTATTCTTGACTATAATAGATCACAGCACATATACCTTGATTTCTTGTTACTTACACACAGACGATAAAGTCTGCCACAACCGACGAAATGAGGTCCGATCTGCCGGTTGATATGGGATCCAGTTTCCGCCGTGCTGGGGAACGATTAAGGTCCATCGCAAAGATGAATCGCTGGGCGAAAACCCAGTATGAAGGAAAAGCCGGCGATACAGACACCATTACCAACTGCTATCTCCTTGCGCTACCGACCGAGCTGCTCCTGGAAATCATTTCTCACCTGTCGGTGCTGCCCGAGGCATGTCTGGCGCTGACCTGTAAACGCCTCTACTCGATATGCGGTGCTACCCTGGGTGCCAAACCCCTCCATTTCAGTGGAGACTTTGCACCGCTTTTCCACCACTACCGAAATGGACACAATTTCGTCACACCACGTTGGCAATTTATAAATTTGCTAGAAGATAATAGGTGGCGGGCATGTTCTCGATGCTTGAAACTCCACCCGCGGAGCTTCTTTCCCGCGCGAGAGCTGAAACGAAAGTCCGAGGATAGATCATGCAACCTAGGGAGTTCGGCAGGCATAGTAGATCTGTGTCCTTGCAAGAAGTTGACCTTCCAGGATAAGGTGGAGCTTGTCGAACTCTTGAGGATACGGCGAAAAACGATCACAGATTTGGCGATCCAGTTTGGTTCCGGGATGAAGCAGCAGCGTTTCTGCTGGCATAGTTGCACTGAGGACTACGGATCGACGCAGCTAGATATTGAGATATACCCTGAGCTGGATGACGAAGACCAATTGAAGATCAAGACAGAATACCGCTTGCGCACAGGTTCCGGCCAGCTCGGCAAAGAGGAGCATATGACGCCGCGGTTTGGATGTGCTCACCGGTCCGTTGACTTATGGCTTTCGAGTGTCTGCCAGACGACTCTCTGTCGCCTTTATGACAACCAGTGCGCGTCCTGCAAGCGAATATCCGTATGTAATACATGCAATGCCTCACTCAGGTGTCCTCGCAAACAACCATGTCGAGTGGACGATGAAACGGGACAAGCAACATACCATTTCTATACTGAAAGGTGCTTGGGAGGATCGGGGCCTGTACCAGATCAGACATGGGCAGCGCAGCGAATCCATCCCGCGGAGAATCTGATAGACGTCGCAAACTGCAGTGAGCTATGCCCGTGGACGATCCGAGAACATCCACCTTTGGAAGAAGCCCCGTCTTTGGAGATGAATATCCTCAATCCCGCTATACAGGATCAGTCGATGAATCAGCTGTATACCTCGATCAGTATGATTTAGGATTGGTTGCTGTAGTCACGAATCTCATTGTGTGTGATGCGTTCTAGATGAACCTGGTTTCGACGTTATGCAAGGACTCCTGGGGGTTGAATAGCTTGGGTAGTAAGGGTGTATAATGGCTCGATTATTGATTCAGGGTGGTGTTGGGCTTGTTTCTTAGAGGGAAAGGGTTCGGGATATAATTAGTATAGTATAGTTAAGCTAGAGAGGGTGTCAACGGAAAGACCCATACAATGCACATGATATAACGCTCTGTATGCATTTTCGAAAGAAGGGATAGTCCAGATGATCCGCTAACACGGGTTGTTCCGTCTACTGAGTAAAGTACTGGGAGTAATGTCATGTAGCAATCAAGCCATGGATGGTAGAACTCACCTGATCGCGCCTCACCTGACCGCCCGGGGGTTTCTCCGACCCGACGCGGAAACGGAAAAGGCGGCGCGATCCAGAAGAACAAGAAAGATAGAGAATCATTCCCAAAATTTAGAAGCATCCTCGTCGTCTCGCTATATATACTTCCCGGGAATAGCAGAGCGCAGTGGATTGATGAGCATTGTCTGCGTCCTGGGGCGATGAGCTACCCACCACCCCATAACGGCCCATACCCTTCGCAGTATATGCAGCAACCCCCCAATCTGCCGCATCACCAGCAGACCATCCACCCGCAGCAGCTACTGTACAACAACAATGTCAACACGAGCGCTTCGCCATATCAATATGGGAAGCCGGTGGTTTATCCCCAGGTCATGATCCCGGCGTATCCTGCTTACGCGCAGACTTATAACCCGCAGCCGCCGCAACAACAGCAACCTCCTCCTCCACCACCACCTCAACAGCCTCCACCCCAGCAGCAGCCGCAACAGCAATATGTGAATCCGTCGGATCTGTTCAACCCACCACCGCTTGCTTCTACCTCGCCTCCCCAGTTCACCAATAGTCCGTCTCAATATGCCGCACAACCAGCGGTGTCTGTTGCAGGCAACAGCCGCTCCCCAGTCCTCCCTACTTCTACCCCCGCCCAATCCACGTACTATGCCGCCCCAGATCTTAACCAAGCGAACCAAACTCCCAACAATTACCCTCAACCTACATCTACTACGCCCTCAGTTCAAGTCCCGACCCCCGCTGCTGCTGCCCCTGCGGCTGCGTCTCCTGCCCCTGCTCCTGCTGCTAAACCTGTTGCTGCCAAACCCGTCCCTGTTAAGCCAGCCGCCGCCAAACCTGTCGCTCAAACTCCCCCAGCACCATCTCCTAAGCCTGTCCAGGTGTTAATTCCAGCTCCTACCCCAGAAGTGCAGCAGAAGATCCAGCGCCCTCCCCCTAAGAAGCAAGTGCAGCGACAAACTGGCCAAAAACCTACCCAAAAATCAGCAGGCGCGCCGATCGACTATCAAGTGCTGCTGTTGGCCATGGCTGATGAGTATCTGAATGCCGCTCACAGTCATGGCACGTTGGTAGCCTTGTTAAGACGGGAGATGGAGATGGACGAGTATTACAAATTAGTTGCTACAGGTCTTGGTTGCTTGGAAGCCGTTCTCAAGGTACGCTGGGACTCTTGATCCTTGACGCGAACGCAAGTTGCCGTGGTGCTGATTAATGTGGCGCAGAACTGGCGGCTTCAGCCCCGGGTTGAAGCTCTAGTCCGATTACGTTATGCCCGTATATTGTTCGAGGAAACAGACAACGACCTTGAAGCGGAGACAGCATTAAGCAAAGGTGTACGTTTTATTCCTGCTCTGCATCTTGCTGCTATTGCTAACTTTATTGTATAGATTGACCTTTGCGAAAGGGTGAGTACTATCATCTTCTCCATCTGTGGAGCCATTACGAGAATAACGTACTAATGAATGTAGAATCGGATGCTTGATTTAAAGTATAGCATGCAGCATTTGTTGGCGCGAATGCTGTACAAGACAAATCCAAAGGCCTCGCTGAAAGCTGTTGATGGGATGATTCAAGATGTCGAAGCGTATGTACCGTTGACGCCATTATATCAGTTTTCTTACTGAACTCATTAGGTATCGCCACTCCGCCTGGGAATACGCTTTTCGTTTTCTTCGAGTGTCTCTTTCACTTTCCTCATCCGCCCATCAAGATTCAGTGTCGGCACTGCAACACCTTCACAAGATTTCCACCATGGCCAGCCGCAATGGCGATAGGGCTGTCTCAGCCATGTCTGCGATAATTGAAGCTCTAGCGCACCTTCAGCAAGGATCCGGGTTTGACTCGGTCGAGCAAGCCCAGCGTGCAGTAGCAGTAGCGCGGAGTCACCAACTCAACGACGAGCTCCGACATATTCCACAGCTAACGACTTTAGTCCAAATTGTCGATATTTGCTGCAGTCTACTTGAATACGACATCAATCAATCGTCGCAAAAGCTGAAGATGCTGCAAGATTTGATGGACGAACGCTTAAACGACTCGAATTGGCGCAGCGATGGATCATTCTCAATCCCATTGAATGGCAAGTCGGCCGGACCGTCTTCCATTGACACCGGGGACATCCTCCAGGTCCAGAGTGGCACGCTGCTGTTAAGCTTTAATTGGCTACCTCAGCACGATCTCTACGCGCTTTGCTACTTCCTCAGTTCGATCACACTGAGTTGCAAAAACTCGTATGATGGACGTAAGGCAGAGAAGTTCTTGCAGGAGGGCACTCGTATGTTAAAGGGTTAGTACACCGGATTTGGCGAAGGTCATCTCAATTCTTCTCAAATGTGTTATTGACGGTATTGTCACAGGAAGTTTCAAGGCGCCACAAGAGATCACAGAATCGGTGGTTAATGCGAACAGACGCGTTCAGTGGCGCAGGATTCTCTACTGCAACCTCCTCGTTCAGCAGGTTTTCCTTGCTTGCGGTCGCACAGATTGGGAGCTAGCCAGCAAAACATTGAAGGAACTTCAAGAAGAAGGTCAGGAGCTTGGCGACCAGCTCCCAGATACCGTTGAGTGCCTAATGGAGTATGCTACTGGTGCTATTGCGCAAGCAACCGGCGACCTCACCGCAGCTCTGAACGCCTTTCAATCCCCTCTTCTCTCATTATCCACGAACTTCAGCAAGACGGCGCGCAATGAGCCACGCCGCGACATCGCCATTCTCGCCGCTCTCAACACCGTCCTCATCCTCCGCGATCCCACCCATCCCTCTCACTCCCACCTACCCGCCGTCTTATCTACTGTGGAATCCTTCTGCACTGGCAGTCCCAACAAGTACATCCAAGCAGCATACTACCTGGTCTGCGCCACCGTCCAGACCGAGTCCACGATTCAAACAAAGCAATATCTACAACAAGCCCTCCAATCCGCCACGGCAATCAGCAACAGCCAAATTACCTGCATGACCCTAACCTTCATGAGCTGGAAATACTTTCGCGGCGTCGTCGGCGAACAAGCCGAGAAGAGTGCCCGAGCGGGCCGCGCCATGGCTAAGAAAGCCAACGACCGGCTCTGGGTCAGCGTCACCGACGAAATGCTAGCCGAAACGCTAGAACGTCAAGGAAAGAACGAGGAGGCCAAAGGCGTACGGGAAGAAGGTCATCGTGTAATGATGGGATTGCCGTCTGCTTTGAAGAGACCTGTATGATGGATGCAGGCTTTACCTTGGTCCTTTTCTTTCTTCTTCCTCCTTTCTACCACTTGTTGCTGGTAGTGGCGGTTGCTTGACTTGCTATTTAGCCCACCTTTTTTGTAATTTCTACCATACCTCTTTTCTACATTCCCATCCTCCTTTTCTTATTACCTCTGCCCCCCTTCCATATCCTTTTTTTTCTTTTCTTTTCTTTTTTACTTACTTGCTTTCTATATCTCTGTAGTGTGGTGTTTACGGCTGAAGTTCAGTTCATGATACCATGTTAGGGCTGTTCTATCCAGGTGTCTTATCTGCTGCTCTATCTGTCTGGGGCTGTAAGGGGTTTGGTTGTTGCTACTTATTTAGGGGTGTTTGGCGTCATGTGATGACATTGATAAAAGGGAGTGCGCGCGTGTGGGTTGTTCCATTTGTGTGGAAATAAATAGTTTATACAATAAGATCCCGGTTTCAGGTGACAATTGGATATTCGGTATTTGATCTATAAGATCAGACATCCAGGCACATTCATTGATGATGGCTTGACATACACAAGATGATCGATCCAGTCTGTCTGACTGGCCATATATGAGAAGGATGGAATAGATAGTACACCTTTCATGTTCGATTCAACGGACATAATCAAGTAGGTTGTTGTGTTGTTATACATGCACACGTGACAGAGCCGGTAGTCAAACGGCGTTGAGTCAATAGTTAATCAATCAAGAGGTAGTAGGTTAGGTTAGGTAGGTAGGTGAGATCAAAAACGGTGGAAAGTTTGTAACAGCATCAAACAACGGCTTCAAAAAACAACAAAGAAAAGACCCCGCGGTTCGCCTCAAGACCCCGTAACCTTTCCATACGCCTGCGACCCTATACAACACCAAGTGGCAGCAAAAATAAAAAGATGATGAACGTGATTTCCCCACTGTTAGATTATAACAAAGTTGGAAAGGAGAGAAGAGAGAGAGAGAGAGAGAGATGAAATCAGACAGGTGGTGGGGAGATTAGGTAGATGGTGAAAGTAGACAAGAAAGTGGCTTTTGTTCATGGGCGTTTTGTCTGAAATTCGATCTTTTCTTTGGACTTCTTCTCCTTTTTGAATGATAGAAGGGGTAATTCTTGGTGTGAGGTTTAGCCCAAACCACCCCAGACACCACGGATGCGTCGAGCAAGTTGGATATCTTTCTGCATGATAGTCACGCGCTTGGCGTGAATCGCGCAGAGGTTGGTGTCCTCGAAGAGATGTACAAGGAAAGCTTCGGCTGCTTCCTGGAGGGCTTGGATCGCATGCGACTGCCACCGCAGCTCGGCGCCAACTTCTGAAGGGAGGAGGTCAAGCGCGACCTCGCGGACCAGCCGAGCGAAAGGAAGCTTTTGGATAAGCAGATCGTACGAGCGTTGGTACTTGCGGATCTCCTTGAGAGCCACGGTTCCGGGCCTGTAGCGGCGTACACGTCCTTGCGGTGTAGGGTCACCAGCTGTGAGGATGTCAATTTCTCATTCTTCAAGAGAGGGCGGAGCAGAGAGAGATCTGAATTGAAGGTTGTGGGAGGGGGGTACGCACGCTGAACATCGGACTCTCTGGGTGCCTTTCCAGCAGGCCTTTTCCCTCCCCTAGTCGCTCCAGTGGATTTGCGCACTTTCTTGGCCGCCGGCGAGGCCGTTGTAGCTGCTGTTGAGGGACTTGCGGCAGCACGGTCGCCAGCTGTTGATTGTCGCGGCGCCGCCGTAACGCTCTTGCGACCGCGACCGCGACCGCCTGTTTTTGGGGCATGTTGACTTCCTTAGCGGTTGGCGAGCAATTGGCCGGTTCGGTGTTCAAGTCGAGAGGGGCGAAAGAGGGGTAGCTTTCTGGAGCTCCTTCGCACCGGGCGAGTCAATGATACTTGGAGTTCGGTGGTGTAGAGTGGTGCGCGAGATCGTCCTCCGGCGGCCTGAGGCTTTGTATAATGAACTCTAGGTACGATTGAGTGCCACGCTTGAGAAATAAGCTGCAAGGCGATAACCGCGGAGGAGGGATTGTCAGGGATGAGTTTGCATGCGAGAGGGACCCATCCGGGAGGCCGAACGGACTATGAAATGATGGAATCCCCAGCCATCCGAATTCCTGTCCGAACGCGTGCAAGGCGCGTCTTTGGAGGCGTCGAAGCGCGCGGGAGCGACACGTGACATATGCGCCGGGGGGAGTGACAGGTGACACCTGAGGCCAAAAGGCCAGCTGGAGCTCGGCGATTACGGCGGAAGTAAACTGGCAATTATTTAGTTGGTGAATTCGACATCATCCCCTTATCGATCGAACTTGCCCGTCTTCTCGAGTTCTTAACCGCCAAAAGACAACTGTCTGCATCTTCGCTATTTCGCTTATCGCATCGTATCCGCCAACCGAATAGCCTCACCTCGCCGAGTCTAATCCCAACGTTTGCAACTCTATCTATCCATCTCGATCATGGCCGCCATCTGGGGTAACGGCGGGCAGGCTGGCCAGTTCCCGCTGGAGCAATGGTTCTATGAGATGCCCCCTGTAACTCGATGGTGGACAGCAGCCACCGTTGCCACTTCAGTCTTGGTTCAATGTCACGTCCTTACCCCATTTCAGCTGTTTTATAGCTTCCGCGCAGTTTATGTCAAGTCTCAGGTGCGTCGCAGCTAGTCCTTCCGTCCACTTATATGAAGTAGACGAACCATGCGGCTAACCATCGCATAGTATTGGCGTCTATTAACGACCTTCCTATACTTCGGGCCACTCAATCTCGACTTACTATTTCATGTGTTCTTCTTGCAGCGATACTCGCGCCTCTTGGAGGAATCATCGGGGCGATCGCCGGCCCACTTCTCGTGGCTTCTGTTCTACGCCATGGCCTCTCTTCTCGTCCTCTCGCCATTTCTCTCCCTTCCTTTCTTGGGCACGGCCCTCTCTTCCAGTCTGGTCTACATCTGGAGTCGTCGCAACCCGGAAACTCGCCTCAGCTTCCTGGGAATGCTGGTCTTCACCGCCCCATACCTCCCCTGGGTCCTGATGGCATTCAGCCTGGTCGTCCACGGCATCGTGCCCAAGGACGAAATCTGCGGCGTTGTCGTCGGCCACGTATGGTACTTCTTCAATGACGTCTACCCTTCGCTCCACGGTGGCCACCGTCCTTTCGACCCCCCTATGTGGTGGGTGCGTCTGTTTGAGTCCGGGCCTGCAGAACGAGGCACCGACGCGGCCAACGTCAACGGGGACTTCGCCGCCGCTGCTGCACCCGAAGTTCGGTGAGCTATTTGTGCACCCGTTAGGCGTTGTTGCATGGCGATCTAAGATAAGAATCGTCCGCGCAATCGCCCTGGAAACGCCAGCATATACGCATGTACTGCCGACAGCTCGCTCCGACACGCGCAGAGCATGAGAACATATTACTGTCGGGATATAAGCAAGGGCCACGGCGGCAAATCTGGCGAACTTCTTATCGTGTGGCTTGTCTTGTCTTGTCCAGGGAGAGTCATTTGATCTACCCCACGCTGCCGTGGCTGGTTGCGCTCTGACCTCCTACCAGAAATGTCGCAAAGGCCATCAGAATCCCGTGTATCGACATCCGAGAGACAGAACAACAAACATATTCCGCCAACCAGTGAAGGAGTTGGAATCACTTGTGGGGAAGATGTGGAAGAAAGGAAGAAAGAAGTATCACGATGGTCATAGCGGGCGCTCAGTCTGCGAGATTCAGTCATAGGCGTCTCCGTAAGAGAAACAGACCAACTATAATGGCGATCAATCAGCTAGTAGTTCAATGAATATACCCAAACCATGTTTTGAAAGCCTGATAACAATTTACAGGAGGGGCAAGGGAGGTGGTTCGTGTAAACGCCATGGACGCATGAGGCTGCCTCCTCCTATATGCAGTAGGAATATACCGTAGTACCTAGCATTCCAATTACCTGAAAGGGAGGGAGGGAGCGAGGGGGAAGAGCGGCCCACGTGTCGATCCAGGGTGTGCAAGCAAGCTCGAAGTTTGGGGTAAATTCTCCGCAATGTGTATCCTAATGTCGCTTCTTTTACTTTCTTAATCGCTGCCTCTTCCCACTTTTTAATCAATGCCATACAGACTTGTCGTTTGCTAGGATCTTGGACCCTGGCCATTAATGCCATCGGCTACTGTATCGTATGGTTTGATCCATTCGGTTGATCTGGACTTTCCTCTATCTATTACCCGTGTTATGTAGCACAGACAGTATAGCCACCATGGATCCAGGACTACTACTCCGCTCTGGCGTTGATCAATAAGATGGAGATAAACGCTTTGGGTCGATCAAAGACAAGACGGTCTTAATTCTCTCATCATGAAGACTTGCTATCTATCTATCTATTGTTCTGTGCGGGATTAAAGCATGCTCTGACCTCATCCCACTTACAGATCATCGGGTGAGAGTGGGGGGTGATTGACATGAACAAATCAACCACGGGGCAGGGGTCCCTGATAGTGCATATCCCCTACACAGTAGGCTGGGTTATATACTTGTGTGTTTATTGGATGAAAGGTCCGAAACGGTTCTGATTAGCAAGATAAGTAGGTAAGTAGCCCGGTAGGTAGGTAGGTCATTTACTCATTTTGGAGATGGTGGACGTTAGTAGATGAGGGCTGGGCGAGATTAGGCCCCTCGTCTGCTTGCGTGTCAGCAGATTGGTGAGATGAAATGGGTGATTGCTTTTGATAGATTCATGATTTGTTCTTTGTCTTTGTGAAATGTTAGTACTATTACTTAGGTATTATTTTCTTTAAACGAATCAGTCAACATTATGATTGGGTTATGAGAGAGAAGAGGAAGATAGGAAGCCGAGATTGGACGAGTACGCGGAAACCCAAACAGGGGACAAACAGGGAACCACCGGGGCTCGTTTCTGGTCGGTTGAAACACACCACAAGTAACAGATAAAAGTAGCACATTACTAACTCCTGCTGCCATCGAAAAACCAGGATCTGGCACAAAGGAACATGCAACTCGACAACCGCGAGTCGTTGCCATGCATTCCATTCCCTACCTAGTTATTTTCTCCTCTTCTAGTGGACCTGAGCATGGAAAGCCAGCCACTCAGTCAGATCGGTTCCTTTCTTGCGCCAATCTGGGTATGTTGAAAGGTCTGATTGGATGTATCTCCTGGTAGCATGGATTAAGGCCCCCCTCTCTCCATGTGTGGATGTGGGTCCATGGGTTGTTTTCTCCAACCGTCGCATTTTCCTTTCGTTTTTCTTTTTCCCCTCCTCTATCTTTGGTTTTAAAAAAGACTTGGCATTTCTCTGGGGAAAAAAGTCCAGATTGGTGGGTGTGCTTTGCTGCTCGGATAAAGTATGAAACGGCCCCCAGTTTGGACGGATGGTGGCAAAGCATGACTGCATGAGACTTATCTTAGTAGCAGACCACATTTGTACTATCTTGGAGTTGGAGGGTTCTGTGTCTGGCCCTTTCTTTTCTCCCTGGGCCCTGTTTGAGCCATTTGCCCGTTCACATGGAAGGTTACGACGACCCCACGCCAAAAATACTTGTGCAGTATCCACCACTAACCCACTCCATAGCCCGCCTAATCTGTCAAATCTGATATCAGTGGAGCTCGGATGAATTTGCCAGCGAAGTGCCCACCAAGAAAAAAATCAGGGAGGATACACGGTGGTGCCTGTGGTGGTCGGCGGGTTAACCACCGACCGCCGATTCTCCGTCTCTCAGCAAAACTCACTCGTACTCGTAAATCCGGCTTCAACTTGGGAATGGAAATCCCGACCAGGGTCCAGGGGATGCAATCAATGGCTGTAACAAGCTCGGCGGGTAAAACGTTCTCCATCCATCCCAGTTGTTTCCAGACTACGCCTGTGTCCCAGCCACGAACCTCCGACACCAGATTGTGGCTGGACAGACACCCTAGGCAACTGAATTAATCCATTAATTCAGGTGGCGAGAGGTCTCTCTTGTCCGTCTTACTCTCTTCTAAATATGGATACTCGAATGAATAAACAAGCCTTTCTGGATGGATAAAGCGCTTCCCACTTCTGCCTGATCACCTCGTTTCGATGTGAAGGAAGGAAGGAAGGAAGGATGGATGGATGGATGGATGAAGCAATAGTGGGCGGTGCTGGGCCCCGCTGTGATTACTCGCTCATTGCCGGGCACATCAGATATGATGTTATACATCGGCAAATGCCAGTCAATCACAATCAATCGTGTTGCTCTGTTAGACGCCGAAGTTTGGGCTGGGCTGTGTGTTCCACCGAGCCTTGTCTGCAATCTACTGTGTGCTGTATATTGGGCCTGCCTTAATTGGTAATTGCCTGAGACACTGAGCAGTTACTGGCTAACAGTGTGGTAGGGCAAACTATTAAGAGGACAACTCGACTACTGTAAGTAGGTACGGACAGATCACATACTGCTAGCCACTTAATCCTGCGTAAGTGCACATGGTTTATCTACAAATCACTACTTTGTAGATTACAGCTTGCATCATGTCCAATCACCGTTGCAATTGACGGCTGCCGCCCGGCGTCACCACTAAACACACAGTGGATGGACTACATCTGGGAAGCAGCCAAACACTGGCGACAGGCTTACTTATGGAACCATTACCAATGAACTGATCTGTCCCTGTCACTTCAATGCACTCGATGCTGCAGCTGCCGTGTCACACAAGGACAATTGGTTTTCTCGAGATGCAACCTGGAACTTTATGCACGGGCGGCTTCGACAGCAGAGCTCCGCGGTATCAGCCAAAGGTGAGCTTCGAAAGTACGAAAGCAGACAGAAGTCAATGAAAAGCACACAGTAGTACATAGTACAGAGTTGTCGGGACGGCAGTGGTTGAGTCGTTGACACTTTGACTGCAGTACTGGGAACTACGGGTCAAGGGAGATATGGAGCATGGCCTAAAATTCTACGACGGAACTAGTACCTGTCTAGTTTGATGAATCCATGCGATCCAAGCCGACTATCACACTTTCATGTAGTCCCTAGAATTGAATTTCTGGACGTAGCGTGCAGCGCTATGGATTTAGTCCAGCTAGTTAGTCGCGAGCAGAGGGTTTGTTTGGTCGTAATTCAACTTGCCCTTGTTCCCCAACAATTCTCAACAATCTCTTCCACAATACTTCCATACTATTATCATTGTTGCTTTTTTTTCTCGGGAAATTTGCTTTTCCTTCTGCGTAGTCCGCATTTGCACAGAAATAGTTGCGACCGTTATTAGCTAGCTAGTTAGCTGGATGTGCAAAAACCATAAATTAGGCCAACTCCGTCATCATGGCGGCAGGCCGCGTCTTCTACCCTAAGTAATTGGCTCGCCGGTGCGAAAAGAGCGCATCACTGACTGAACGATACCGAGGAACTGAATTAGGCAACAAAGATTCTCACGATGCGGCAATGATGAGGGGACTGGGGAGGGAGGATCGAGTGGTGGCGTCTTCGATTCATGTTTCGAACCAACTAAAACGATTTTACCTTACTATTTTCTGCCTGTGTACCAGATGCCACAGATCCATGGGAAAGAATGCCAGAAGCATTTTGGGGGTGAAACCACCGAGGCCTGCGTAATCGCCCCTCAATGGTTTGGCGCAGGAGCCACTTTCTTACTATCGGCTAGTGACTTTGTGGTTAGTCTTCTTCTTATCTGTGAGGATATCCGTTTTTTTACTTTTTGATTATTGCTTTATTTGCTCTCCTCAATTTTATCACCTTTTTTTTTCTACTTTCCCCCTCGCTTTCCTCGCCTAATTCGATTAGCGTGGATGGCTGTCGGCCAGTCATTGTCGGTTACATAAGCGGGGTTACCTTTCCCCGTGGCTTCGTGGGATTGCCAATGATGGCCCCACAGACCGACTGGTTGCCAACCACTGGTTTATTTTACAGTAATTAGTGGCCCGTCTTTAACGAGACTACTAACCTAGAATGAACTGGAGAGCTATTGATTTGGGGGAGAGTTAGTACTGTTTAACCGCCGGCCGAGTAGTGGCTCAGCCATTATCTTCAGGCTGGGACACCCTTTCCAACCTCTCATTATTTCCCTTCCGGAAGAGTAGTAAGTTTATCTGTCAGCTGGAAGGATGGACCACGAGGTCCTAGGCGTCATCGATGAACATGGCTCAGAGGGAAGATAATGGCAGTGCGAGATGATGGTGAGATCACCAGGTGCTGATTCCGGGGTGAAAATAGAAACCACGTACTACTACTAGCTGGTAGCTGGATATACTTTGATGGCGGTGCAGTGTGTCATTGGCACTGCAGGTGAGGAGGACCTATCTTTCTCTCTCATTCATTCACAGTATTGTTCTGGATTTAACGAGGTCTTCTATAGCTATTTAATTTGATTACTATTTATTATTGAAATTAATTATAATATTAAATAGTAGTAAACTCCTCAACAAGTTACGAGTCTCCCCGACATGGCTAGTCCCAGTCGGCAAATGGGACTAACCAAACCAGGCATCGAGACGACTGAAAGAGTCTTAGTGGCGGAGGCTTAGCAACTGGCGCCAACCTAAAGCATCCACACCAGCATCTCCACTTTTCTTTGGCTTGGTGTCTCCCCACTGTTTTGCTCTCTCTCTCTCTCTCTGTTTGTGTCTGTCTCTCAGTCTCGCTTTCTTTCCCCCAGGCGCCTTTCCTTAGTTTCTGCCCCCCTTTAACCCGAAGCTGTGTCCCCTGGCGCTGATGACGGTCCATTCAGCGCAATTCCGACCATTCAGGGCTCTCCGTAACCATGGGCCGTTGTTGACACTCGCCGCCCGCCTCCTCCCCTCTTCCTAACTCTCTCTCTCGCTCGCTCGCTGGCTTTATCCGTTCTCTTTCCCAGTTCCCCAGGTACCTCGCAAAAGCATTCCTTTTTCGACGGCTACACTGCCCTCTTCCTCGTTCCCTACTCCTACTACTAGTACTTACTTACTAGTTGATGCCACGGCTCTGCTGCTAAGGCGTCGTTCGTTCCTTCCACACACACACCCCTCAAGTACCTGGCTCTCTGCCTATCAACCTTCATTCCTTCATTCATTATCTTATAATTCTTTTTTCCCCTTCCCTTTTTTGTTTCCCACCCTTGCGACCCAAGTAAAATTACGCACTCCCTCTACTTAAATTGTTTTCCAATCTTCTTGTCTGCTTTGGGTTACAATTACTTAAACAACGCCTCTGTGGCTTCCTCTTTTCCTCACTTTCCCCAATAAATTCCCTCCCCGCCCGTCCAGTCCAGCGCCATTGGGGCTTCCGATCAACCTCCCATACTACTACTACTAGGCCATTCCACCACCACCACTACTGCTTAGTTCTATACTACTACTAAGTGGTCGTCTCGTGGTCCAAACTTTCTCTTTCACCCTTGCGCCGGTCCTTTCCTGGTTCAGTTACCTTGTTCGCGCTTTATACTCTTAGACTCAACAATCCGTCTGCAGAGTAAACTAAAAGCAGAAAAGGGGAAAAAAGAGCCAACCAGCCAGTTCCACGGCCGTTCATTCCTTCAGTCAACCTTGACGACCCTAGGTCATTATCCCCCCGCGGACGCTCGCGTTGCAATTGCCTAAACGTTGCCGGTGCACCCACTCCTGTCCTACGAGTCTATGTTAGTAGTACCGTGTTGAGCCTCGCATCTATTCTCCGCCGGTGTACACAATCGCACCATCACCCCCAGGCCCTTCCCGTGGAAAAGAGCAGATACCGTTCGATTAGGTCTCAGTCCTCACGGCCGTCTGCACCTTTCCTTTTTCCGTGACACGAATTTACGAATTGCGATAAATCAATCAGAGGATTAGTCCTTGCATCGGGATACGAATCCGCCTCACGTCTGTACACTTGCGCACTTCCCTACCGAGCAGGTGTCGTTCAGGGCCCCTGCACCCTCTTTCAATATGCGACGTGGACTTCTCATTTTCCTCATCGCAAACCTCGTCATCGTCACATTCCTCGTGCGCAGCGTCTTTACACTACTCTCCCTGCTAGTGGAAGATGCTTCCGCCGACGCTATCCACCGCGCCGAGCTCCCCTCGCCAAACTCCAGTTTGATCGAGCAACGCCCTCAGATCATCCCCAAGATCATCCACCAGACATACAAGAACGAAACGATCCCGGAGGTGTGGAGGGAGGCTCAACAGAGCTGCATTGATTTGCACCCGGACTACGAATACATTGTATGCTCAGCCTTTTCCGATGTACGACTCGTTCATTCGAGTATTCTTACTAACGTGCAATTAATTAGCTCTGGACCAACGAGAAGTCGCGCGAATTCATCGCCAACGAGTACCCCTGGTTCCTTGAGACCTTCGATGGTTACAAGTACCCTATTCAGCGTGCTGATTCGATCCGCTACTTCGTCCTCGCACACTACGGTGGCACCTACATTGACCTTGACGATGTGTGTATAACCCATGCTCCATCAATTGTAACCTTTTCTGACCGTATCTCAGGGATGCAACCGCCGGCTAGATCCTCTCCTCGCCTACCCTGCCTGGGTCCGTCGCACTGTTCCTACCGGTATCTCCAACGACGCCATGGGATCTGTTCCCCAGCACCCCTTCTTCCTGCGTACAATTGAGCTACTGCAGTCGTACGACCGCCATTGGCTCCTCCCGTACATCACGGTTATGTACTCGACTGGTCCCCTGTTTTTGTCGGTGATCTGGAAAGAGTACATGCAGACCAACCCCAGCGAGTCTGGCCGTGTCCGCATCTTGATGCGCGATGAGTACAACCGGTACTCGTGGAGCTTCTTCACGCACCACGTAGGCAACAGCTGGCACGGCAAGGATGCCCGCTTGATCTTCTGGATGGGCCAGCACTGGGTGTTCCTCACCGTGTGCGGCTTCTTCCTGGCTGCCGTTGTTGGATTTGCCCTCTGGTGGCTGTATGCGCGCATCATGCTGTTGGGATCGAAGTACCGTTACCGCTACTCGAAGATTCCTTCCTTTGTTTCGAGTTCCCGTCTGTCTTCGCCGACAAGGATGGGGCGGCGTATGATGCCTACCCTTCTTCGTCGCGTCAGCTTCAAGGAGGACGAAGAGGCCGCCGGCGTTACCGAAACGTCGTACGAACTCTACAGCAGACGCGATTAAGCGTCGCCCTTTGTATCATGTTTTGTGTGCCTTTCAGCCTTCCAGCGCCCTGACACTTTCCACCTGGCCGTTTTTCATCGTGCCCGTGGAGTAGCCGCTCAGGTGTGTTTTATATCATCCGCTCAGGGAGTTAAATTTGATTTCTGGGGTGCATGTACGGAGTTTCGGGTATGGATTAACAGCAGTGCTTCTCTTGAAGCACATGACGGCTTGTACATGTTTTGGCAAGATTCTCTGATCTGTGCGAGGCAACCTGCTAGGCAGCGCGCTCACCTTGTATCTGTCTTTCTTATATGTCCGGATTTACCTTTCTTTTCTTTCTTTGACCTTCTCTTCTTGAACCCACAGTTGTTCCTTTCGCACCTGTCTGTTTACACCTTACCTCTTTTACTGTTACTACATAGACTTGCTTTCGATTTTGGGTAGACGGAACCGAACTATCAGCTCAGACGCCTGGGGCTAGCTGGACGGCAAAATAAAACTAATATGTGATTATCTCGACACTACTGTGTTAACTCCTTGATTATGTAATATTATGTTTCCTGCTTCGTGAGGCTAACTCCAATCATGAACACGTCTAACGACCAATGCAGGCCCTGAAGAAAGAGGCTTGAAAGTCAGTCTGCAGATCATACATGCGACACGACCAATCAAGGTGTCCGGTGGTCAGATAAGCACAACTGGTCATGGGGAAGATTCAAGACGGGCGTTTCACATTTGCCGGAGGTTCGCCAGGATCCAATCGCCGTCAATATCAGCACAAGGAGGCATGATACTTGATACATTTGGGCAGAGGTATCTCTGGCAATTTCCGGACATGCCAACGCAGTGTCGCCAGATGCAACAAAAGTCCAACCAACATGTGGCGACAGGCCAGGCTATGTGAGATGCCTCTGGCTGATGAAGGACCCTCCAGACCCTGATCCACCCTCAGGAATGCGGAGTCGATCAGGCATGCTGGGTCTCAACAATGACATGCTCTGAAAGACATATAAAGGGGCTGTCCCTGTCGATGATCCTTGTTCTTATGGTACTTGTGCAGGCTCACGGTGTCTTTTGTTCTTAACAGTCTTGTCCTTTGTCCTACTTCACTTGGGGTCTCAGCAACATGAAGTCAACATCAATCTTGAGCAGCATGTGCATCATGCCCTTGTTGGCATATGCATCTCCGGCCGGCCGGATCCTTGCCCGAGATAGTTCCTCCCTCACCGTGGCGCAGCTCGAGGCTATTGCTCCTACATCCAATACATGCGATAATCCACCTGCAGCCGGGGAATGCGCAACTGCGGAGCAAGCAGTCCCGCATATCACAAAGTCTTTTGACACTTATGGCGTGACGTCTCGCGCTGAGCAAGCAGCCGTGATTGGACTCATGGCATTTGAAAGCGGCGATTTCAAGTACAACAAGAATCACTTTCCCGGTGTTCCTGGGCAGGGCAGTACGTATTTCCACCTTCATCCTCTGCCTGCCATGCCAGATAGAGAGGTAGATGCTAACGATGGTATACAGCACGAAACATGCAATCGCCCTCTTACAATGCCGAATACGCGGCTTCTATCCCCGCGCTCGCGGACCAACTCCCCAGCGTATCCGGGGACGTGACGGGGGTGCTGAACCTCTTGCTCTCAAACGAAGACTACGACTTTGGCTCCGGAGCATGGTTCCTGACCACGCAGTGCTCGGCTAGTGTGCGGTCCCAGTTGCAGTCGGGGTCCGAGGCAGGCTGGGCAGCATACATCACCAACTGCGTAGGGACCAATGCCAACGACGATAGGAAGGCATACTGGACACGGGCAACACAAGCCATGGGTGTCTCTACCTGACCCTCCACCTACTCATACAACATCACACATAGTGTTGTATAAATAGTATACTACTATATGCATCCCATTCAAAACTGACTGTAGTCAAACCAAACCAACATAATCATCATAACATACCATCCATACAAGAAACATATTTAAAGAACCCCCTTCGTACTAACCACATCCCCCGCCCCAACCTCCCCCTCCACGCGTCTCGTACAAGCCGTCCGAATCGCCACCGCCAACGCCTTAAACGCACTCTCCGCCCGATGATGATCATTATCACCATACGTGCACCCCACATGCAGCGTCACCCCCGCGGCCTGCGCAAAACTCTGCAATCCATGCGTAATCATCTCCGTACTCAAATCCCCAATCTTCTCCCTCCGGAACCCAATGTTAATCACCGCCCACGGCCGACTCGACAGATCAATCACCGCCCACGACAACGCCTCGTCCAGCGGCGCATCGCCCCGTCCGAATCGCGCAAGCGATTGCCTTGCCCCCAGGGCTTCGGTGAATGCGCTGCCTAGCGCAAGGAATGTATCTTCCGTTGTGTGGTGGTCGTCGACTATACCAATACCAAGAAAACATATTAGCATTGCCTAAATACCTCCCTTAATAGCGCACGTTTCCCCACCCCCTCCCACCCCCCAAGATAGAGAAAATGCACAGAAGAATAGTGGGTATGAACGTACTGAACAAATCCCCCTTAGCCCTCACAGCCAAACTCCACCCACCATGCTTCGCCAACGCATGCAACATATGATCCAGGAATCCGATGCCCGTGTTAATGGTGATTTGCTGCGTCGGGGTGAATTGGGTTGCGTGCGGTGAGGCTTTGTCCGGGATAATCCCCTTCTTGCTTGCCTCGGCTTCGGCGGGGTCTGAGGGCGCCGGGAAGTGAGTGCATGGTTCGTAGGGGGGTAGGATGCCCCCGTCCAGTGAGAGGGAGATTTGGATCTTGGTTTCGTTGGTTATCCGGGTGATGGATGCGGTGCGGGGGGGAAGGGGGGGCATTTTGGTGGTGTTTTGTCTTGTGTGGTATCTGGTGGGTATGATGTGGTGTGGTGTGGTGGTAAGTGTGATGCTGGATGAATTGGATTCAATTGAGTAAAGTAGGTAGTAGTAGAGTTGGTAGAGAGTGGAGGATAGTTTCGTTGGTAATCTCTTCCGCTGATTGATCAAGATCTTTTTCTGCGAAACTGCGGTTTCGGACCCGCGGAGGCAGTTATCGGTATTTGCTTTACTAATTTACAGTACGGTGTTTGGTTCTCGGCATTTCGTTGACCCGAGTCGTATGGGTTGAATTGGGGTTGTGCGTCATTGGTTTTGCAGAACTGCCATGCGCCTGTTACTGTCTTTTGTCCGCCGTGCATGCATTAGGTATTTCTCTTTTTCTTCTTTTGCTTTTTATTCTATATCGACAGAGTAGCTTCGCTTAGCTACTGCATATATCATGCCTCCCCCCTCGGATCAACGTCATAATGTCGACCCCCCGGAGGAGATCACCTCCGAGGCCGTCCGCGGCTTCTTGACCGGTGCTTTTCGGGTATGTCTGTTCTTTTAATTCCTAAAGGGTTGCTCTGCACTTCATTTTGAGTGGGAGCCGTCCGGTGTATTTGGGGGCATGGTATTGACAGAATAGTTCGGCTCCGTCTCCATCCTGGCGCATATGATCATGATCCTCCCTCATCCTTTCAAGTTCTCGTCGCCCTCGTCTGCCCCCGTCCCATCACAGTCCCCGTCGCAACCTCCGCCCAAGCAATCGCCCTTTTCGAAAGAGTTCATTCGCTCACGACTCTTCTATCGCCCGTTAGAGGGCTTCTCCGAGTGGCTGTCCCCCGCTTCGAAGATCTACCGCGGCTTGACGCCCCAATTCAAAGTGTTTCTCCATATCGGGGCCATGACGCTGGGTGGATGTATCTGGGCGGAGCGCCGAGTCGATGAATACATTAAGTATATTCGCAAGGTCAAACGGCTCGAAAAACTACAAGCGGAGAGAGCCGCGCGGGGACTGGACTAAGCAAAGCGGTAGTCTAGGCATAGATGGGATGCCGACAAAGGTTGATTTCTGGGTTGAGAATTTATAGTTCCAACATCAAACAACGGACCCAGTTGTCTCAAGTCATTCTAATTGTCAGTGGTTGTGAGAGGCAAAAATACCGGGAAGCTGTCGGTCGGGGGCTTTGTCTCGTTGCTAAAAGTTTGTCCTGTCCGGAGAGGCTGAGTCCATTTCTTTCTCCCTCAGGCTTCTTCCCGGCTAGCTCGGGCGTCTGAGGTTTTCTCCACTGATCTCAACCCCCGTGTTTGAAGGGTTCAGGCGAAACACGACGATGGCCCAGTCTGGAACGTACTGGATACCCTTCGGGCCAGGTTCGGGCTGTGGACAAGCCCGTTAGAGGGGGGTGGAGGGGGGAAGGCTTTGGCTAAGAGTAGTAGTAGGCTAGTAGCTAGCTAGCTAGTTAGCTAGTAGTCTAGCAAAAGTCCAGAAGCGATGCTGCAGCAGTCCCCGAACGGCCGCGGTGGGGATACGGGAGGATCTCCAGATTGGTGAATCGGCCGCTTGTGTACACCAGTAGATCTCTAATTAAAATGACGACCGATTTCAGGGGCAGTTGATCCAGTTGACAGGGTGGTATCTGTTTCTGAAAAACTAGAACATTGCGCCCTTTATTTCTTTTGACTTTCTGTCTTCTTCCCCCCCCCTCTCTCTCATATTGTTCTAGGGTCGGGTCGGTCCTAAAGTACTAGGGAGGAACAAGGGGGTCTAGATCTTGTGGTGGGAAGAGGGGAATGGATGCAAACAGACAGACTGGTTGGCAGCAATGTGCACACCACACCGTAAAATGAAGAATGAACAAGAAAAAGAAAATATGAACCCAAATGCAGGCAACCTCCCAATCGGTTGATCATCCCGAAGTTCATTTTACCCAGCTGTCAGTCATGGTGGCAGCGCTCCAGACCGTGGCCAACTGGAGCTACTCCGTAGTTACTAAGTCATCTCGCAGCATTCTAGCTAGCTGGTTAGCCAGGGCGAGAGAAGGATACAAGTGGAGCTCGAGCTCTGAAGCAGGAGAGAGAAAGCGAATAGGTGTGAGCGAGAGAGAAAGGCGGCCAGTCCTGCATGGGTTTACGCGGCTGGAGATCGGCTTCTCGAACGCGTTTCAATCCACCGGCGATCGGCTTCATAAGGGCTCCATCTGGGGGGCACAAAATGGTGGGACAGGGAAATGAGTATCAAAGACAGTTTAGTAAGTGGATTAGTTAGTCATTAAGTAGTTTAGTGATGGAGTCGAAGGGAGGAAGGAGAGAGGGCTGATTAGTGTCGTTCTGAAGTAATCAGTATTTGCCATTCGCTCTCGCTGTCTCTCTCTGTATGGAGTAGTGAGATGCAAGAACAAGCAATCCCAGAGAGGCGGACGGGTGAGGCGGCGGTTTTAGTTGGCGGCTGCTTCTATAATAAACCAGCCAGTGGGATGAAGTGGAAGGAGAAGTAAAGTTATTACATACGCTCTCTTCATCCTGCGCATCCTTGTGGTGCATTCTGGTAGTCTATTCATCCTCGTTAGATATCTTAGGAAGTAGAGAGGTAGATACTCCGTAGTGATTGTGTAGGTCAAGAGAGAGAGAGAAAGAGAGAGAAAAAGAGAAATCACCTCCCAAGAAAAAGCATCAACTGCATTCGGCGAACTTGGGATGATCGGCTTTCCGGAGAGAGTAACTGGAGGGTGAGAAGTAACTAAACTCTCTTTCCTCCCTCGCCTCGTCATGTCAATCCATCCACATTGAGCTCATCATTTATTATTTTCTTTTATTTCATGGTGTTGTGTTTCGTTGTGCTGTTGCATTGCCACCTTCATCTGTCTGCTCCCTTCTGTCATTCTTCTCTTTTGTCTCCATATTGCCTCTCCATCCATCTCCATCTGCCCCCCTGATCCGTCATTTCCTTCGTCCCTTTAGTCTCTGTTCCCCACTCTTTTCTCTCTTCTTCTTCTTCTTCCTCCTCCTCCCATCTTCCCTCCCATCTTCCTCCCATCTTCCTTCCCTCCCTCCCTCCCTCCCTCCCTCTCTCTCTCTTCTTAGGGAATTGTAAATTGGATCTTCCTCTCCTCCTAATTAGTCAACTAGTTCGTACTCATTCAGTCTCTACATTTCTTTCTTTTTTTGTCATCAGTGACACAGTCATCGGAATTCCCGATTTTTCATTATTATTTTCAGCGAGATCCGAAGAAGCTCCGGGCGCTGACATCATAAAACCCAAAAGACGCGCTGCAAGTTAGTCTACTTAGTTCACTATTAAGTTCCTGAGCTCATTTTTCTCCGGATTGCCTGCCGTTCAGGAACTGGTTCGATCCAATCTTTTCACCTCACTGGGTCCGCTTGAACAATCGCTTTCTTTGGGTCGCTGAGACGTTGACGTTGTAAACACGACAGGGAAGAATAGAAGGGACAGAAAGAAAGAAAGGCAAAGATAAGCAGTCAATATCCATCTTGTGCGCCTCGTCCGCATTCGTCTACTTTTACACACTCTCTCCCTCTCGTGTCTTCCCCTTTCCGGTGTTCTGGTGGTGAGGTTGTTGCGTTGTCTCGCCCATTGACACGGCCTAGACTGTAACCTTTCTTACGTCCCTGATTGCCCCGGAGTGTGCTTGGACGTTCTTTCTTCCACCTCCCCCCCCCCATTTTCTCCTCTTCCGTGCATCTCAATCGCCATCGCATTGGTGTTGCTGCAATTTCGTACTTTTTTATTGGCGTCCTCCGCTCACTCGCTCGCTACTATCGGTCTCAAATCTCAACCCACCCCATTCTTTTCCTTCCTCTCTCTCCTCTCTCCTCCGTATTTTTAAGCTCTTCTTCTTGTCCATTGTATATCTGGTTATACTCTCTCTCTCTCTCTCTCCTTCTTCTTCTTTTTCCACTTTAGTTACGAATTATCCTAAGATTGTCTTTTGTCGCCTTTTATCTCATTGATTGTCTCATCTGGTATCGAGACTTTTCCTTGGTCTTCTTTTGCTTCCCTTTCCACCTCTCTCTCTTTTTCTCTCTCTTTCCAAGCGCCCAATTTCAGATCGCGCCATTTTCTCTTTTCTCCTCCCCCCGCCGTCTCTGTTGACTTCTTTCCCCTTCTTTTCCACCTTCCATTGCCACGTCAAATCGTGCCGCTTTTCTGCGCGTCCATCTTGATTCTTCACCTCCTATCGATGGCAGCTGGCCCGACTGCTGTATGTTCCACCTGCCTTCCCTCCCCCTCTTCCCTTCCACAGCTCCTCATTTGTGCTCCTTCGCCCTGCTCCACCCCTCTAGTTCACTAGTCACCACCGGGGTCTCAATCTCCTAGGCTAGGCCTGCAGCCATGTCTATCCATCCTTATCGTCCCATCATGCTCCTCCTCGTCCCCCAATGTTCGGTGGCCTTGTTTTTTTCTTACGGGTTTTCTTCCTTTTAGTGACCTACTCCCCCGCGACCTCGGCCTCCTCGATGTGGCACTTCGTCCTCGGATTCCAATTTGCTCCTGTTCCTCTCGCCCTCTAGGGTTCTCGACTCTTCCCTGTCTTGTCTTCTCCGCCCTCCTGCTTCCCCCCGCGCCCCCCGTCATGGCCGAGAGTCTGGGGAAGAAAGAGCGGAGAAAGAGCCTGAGCGTCTTCAGCCCATCAATGACTACCTCTTCCCTTCCCGCCCCCGCCGCTCATGAACGGTCGCCCTCCGATGATGCCCAGGTTCTGAAGAAGAAATCGCGACGCAACTCGGGTTTCTTTGGGGTCCGGCACCCCAGTCCCCCGAGAGCCACGCCCACCCGTGGCTTACGTCGTCCCGGCACCGCCGATTCGGAGTCGGCCACCTACGTGACCGCGCTGCCTACCGTGGCGCTCGAGGGCCCTCGCAGCCGGCGGAAATCCCTACAGAAACGACGAACCTCCGTGTTTGGTTCCCTTCGGTCGCTACACTCCCAAGAAGATGACGACCGGTCGCTGGGCCGCTCCAAAGGCTCATCCCTGGACGAGGACCCTCCCGAGCTGCGACATGGCATTGGCTCCATCATCCTGCACCATGGAGAGATCTCCATCACCGGAGGCATGTGGCGGAAGAAGAGCCATTACCTGGTTCTGACCGACACGCATCTTGTCCGGTTCAAGAACCAGAGCAAAGCCGCCGATATGTTTCCCTCGATCCCGGCTTCCTTCACCTCCCGCTCAGTGGCGGCCAACCGCCAGTCCGTCGCCTCCATCAGTTCCCTGCAGGACCCCCAGCTGGCCGCGGCGAGCGAGTCCATTTCCGGCATTGCCTTGAACAGCATCATTGCGGTTTACATGTTGGACGATGGCCGACCGTCGTCAACGGTGGAGGTGGCCTATGTGGATGAACGGGCTCAAAAAGCCACCTTCATCCAGATGCAGACGCCCGACTTCCAGGAACTGAATCTGTGGATGGTGGGCATACGCTCCGCGGCGGAATTGATCCGCGGAGCCGACCCGCTGGTCTTCGATCAGAAGACGGCGGATTGCGTGGTCCGCATGCTCGAGTATGAGCGGGACTATGATCCAGAGACCTTTCGAATGTTCCGGGTCATCCAGATGGCGTCCAGCAAGTCTCCTGCACGGGCATCATCTGAAGATCTCACCAAGCTGTCACCGACGGGCTGTTATCTCGCCCTTGGGTCGCACAAGCTCCACTTGATCCCGTTGCACAAGATCTCCAGCCGCAGCTCCGTGGTATCCTTGAGTGACCTGGATGCGGCAACCTCTTTCGGACTGATGAACCTGACCTGTCTCTCCATGGAATGGGGCGACGATAGCCTGCATCTCACGTTCCGTGTGCCAACGCGGAAACCGTTCTCGGTCTTCCTCGCATCCGTGCATTCCGTGGAGATTGCCTTTTGGATTCGACAACAGACCGAGTTCCTACGTCCCTTGTGGATCAAACAACCGTATGACTTCATCGTCCCTCGGGACCTCGACAACGAGAGCAATTTCCCTCCGGTGAGCTTGGACGAGGATTACGGTTGCTTCGACCGGACATTAGTCGCCTACTCGGCTAGCTACGACATCGACACTTCCAACATCCGATATACCATTGACGTGCAATGCGATGACGCCCCGTGTTTCAGGCTCCTGCCGCCCGCCTCCGCTCGGCAGAAGAAGTATACCGCTTTAGAGCTGATCGCCGTCCTGCGAGCACTGCGATACAACGAGTCCTTCCGGTCTATATCGTTTAGTGGTGTCAGCCTGGATGTTCTGCAAGGCCTACGCGATATCTATGGCCCGGATAAAGACGCCCTGCTGAGTCGTGCCGGGGCGCCGATCCATATCCCCGGTCAGGAGAACCTATCGGTGTTGTCCCAGGAAGTGCGTGCGTTGACTCTGAAGAGCAAGTGGCTCCGACGTCTGGACTTCTCCTATACCCTGAGCCGCATTCCGAAGTCGGATAGTGAAAGTCACGATCCAGGATGTGGAATCCCTGAAGCCATCTTCCCCATTTGCCGACGAGAGCTGACGAGTGTTGACTGGGTGGTGTTGAACGGTATCAAGCTGGGCGATTCGGATCTCGACTACCTTGTGGATGCCTCGTCTCAACGGTCCAGTCACATGCGAGCATTGGAAGTGGGCAACTGTGGCTTGTCAGTTCACGATCTTGACCTTCTCCTGTCCACGGTCGTCGCCCAGTCCTCGACTCTGGAGGCGATGAACATCTCGGGTGTTCAAGGTCGCCTCAGCCCCGACATACTCCAGCAATACCTCGGCTATTTCAGCCAGATCAAGACGCTCGACTTGTCTCGTATCTCTCGCACCTCGGGCACAGAGCCTCTCATCACCCCTGAGACATTGTTCAACTGGCGCCTGGAGGAACTCTCGTTGAGCCGGACCCTCGTGAACCGCGAGACCGTCGATGCCATAGCCACATACCTGGCCAGTGATCGATCTCGGGGTCTGCGCGTGCTTCGCCTGGACCAGTGTGGACTCAGCGGTCAAGACGTCGCCATCTTCCTGCATTCCATGACAGCCAACGGGTTTCCTCGCGATTTGCACATTCACGTCAATGAGAACCGACTTGACCAAGGCTGCTCGTACCTTTTCAAAGCCATTGCACAAAACAAGACGCCAACTCATATGTCAATGAGGATGATTGATTTCAAGAAGGAGGAACAATTCCAGGAGCTGGTGGAGGCCTTGCGAAAGAACCGGACCCTAAAATGTCTGGACATCTCCAAGGCGTCTCTTCCGTATGATGCTGGCCCTGAGACGTGCAAGGCGCTCCAGCTAATGTTCGAGGAGAACGAGACGCTTGAAGATTTGGATATCAGTGGCGAAAGCGCTCATTTGGATGTCGCTCGGTTTGGAATTGGTCTGAATCTGGCCCTGACAGGTCTGAAAAAAAACAAGTCCTTGCGAGTCCTGAGGATCGAGCATCAGAAACTGGGCCTGCAAGGTGCAAACACCCTGGCCTCGGTGCTGGAAGACAATGAATGTCTACGTGAAGTATACTGTGAGAACAATGACATCAACTTACAGTCGTTCACGGTCCTGGTAAATGGACTGCAGCGGAACAGATCCCTACTGAGTCTGTCGTATATGGATCGTGACCGCGTCCAGTCGCTCGACCGGGTCCGGCGTGAGATCCGGAACGTGAAGCGGGATGTAAGCCAGGCGCAGAGCTCGGCAACCAGCTCTATTCGCCGTTCGTTACATGCCGCCATGAATGGAAAGACGAGCAGCAAGTCATCAAAACAGCAGCATACGTCTGGTCACCGCTCCGGTGCCTCAGTAGCCTCGAGCCTGAGTGCTACTGCCGAAACCTCACCCCTCTTGCAGCAAGACGTGGAGGTTATTCTTCAGTCGTTGAGCCGGAAATGGGATGGTGAGGTGGCTCGTCTTCGTCGATATCTGTACCGAAACTACAACTTGGCCCACGGTATTGAAGATGATATGGCCGGGTTGGACGATGACACTTCGAGCGACGGACGCCCCACGACAGCCGGCAGCCTTGGATTGATGCTGGACCATTTGAAACTAGACGTGTCAGTGTCAGAAGCTGAAATCCAGCCACCACCGGAGCTTCCCGTGCAGTTGCCGCCGGAGATCAAGCCCACGAGCCCGAAAGACCATTTGGAGATGTTCAAGGGACTTGATGCGGAGAGTAGCCTGGTCGCTGAGCTCCGGCAACGCCCGCAGACGGCTCCTTTCTCAGTCCCAGGCTATGCTCCTCACATCCTACCACCAGAGTATGCTGGCTCCAGCACATCCTCTTCCCGTCTGGCAGTGCCTGTGCCTCCTATACCATCTACGGTCAGCAAGTCCAGCAGCGTCCGCAGTGCCCGCAGTTCCAGTACGGTCTCCACCAGTACTCGGGCTAGTGCGCGGAGTACGTACGGAACAGCCTCATCGACGCTGCGCGGCTTTCTCAGTGGCAGCGCCTCGAAAGAGCGCAAGAAGCTGGAGAAGATGAGATCGGGCGCTGTGTGTGTTTCAACAGACCGACCTCCTCAGCTGGAGTGGGCGCCTCCTCCCCTTGACCTGGGGAAGTTCGAGTGAAGCCCCGCTAAGGAGCCGTTCGTTCTTCGCTCAAACATGATTAATGAATCAAATCACGATACCTCGCAAGCCCATTTTCGCTAGTCGAAAATATGCCTCGTGTTTTAGGCCGTCACCGTTCGGCTCTCCATCTACATCCATCCCCTTCCTCTTTTCCCTTTCCCTCCATCTCCTTACCGAAGCACCGATTCCCCACGCAGTGGACGACGCCGGTGTTCATTCCTCTCCTGCCTCTCAGAAAGGGCATCGATCCTTGACCATCCGTTGTTTTCTTTACCTCTTCTCTTTCCTCTTCTCTTTCTCTCTCGGTTCTGTGTCCTGTCTCGCCAGCTGGTACTCAGAATCCTGGCGTGTCCACCGGACACTTACCACCTCTTTCATGTCCCTCTCTCATCTCCGATTTTCCTTCTATCATGTGTTAGCCTCAAGGGGCAGTTGCCCCAGGTAAAGCAAGAGCACTTGGTTTCGCATCTTGCTATTTGGCGCAAGGGCTAGGTGGCGTTCCTTTAAATTTCCTTTTCGAGAACCCTGGGTTTTGATGGTGCTTTGCGGACCTATCGCCTTTGTTTTTTTTTTTTTTTCTTTTCGTTGAAGCCCATTGATGCCCTAATTGTTAATGTCATAGAGAATATTCTCCGTCATGGAGAGAATTGACCCGCAGGGGGACAAAGACCATGTGACCCATGAATGAGTGGCCTGTAATTGATTATTTCTTTTCTTTGGTCGGGTCAGCACAGTCGGTGTATTGTTGATATGATGTGTAGAGAGCAACCATCTGTGAATACATGTGTATACTACTTACTACAATGGGATGATATCTCGGTTGAGTTTACACTTGATGTCCTTTCTGTTTTTCGTATCGTATGCCTAAATTTCTACTACAACTATATTTTACTGTTCTCTAAGGACCACGATCAAATAGCTACCAACAGCCAGACAGATAGTATCTACTTACCTATCACGTCTACAATAATGAACCGGAGAAGAGGGAACAGACAGCTTCACAGAAGAAACAACACCCAGCAGGCTACAACGACAATGCTTGCAGCCGAGGTGTGAAAGGAGAATGTTTGAGATCATTATAGTATGCATACATATAAGGTGTGAGGGAGCATGAGGTATCTATAAGAAGGTAAGGATGAGGTGAATAGTAGGTATCGAAAAGTGAGGCGGATCAGCAAATTAGATGGTTTGACTGATTGATTAGATGGATAGAATGCCTTCTCGCGCCGCGAGTTGATCAATCCATCAGTGCATCAATCAATCAATCAATCAATCATCTTCAATCCACGGTCCCGCCTAGCCGAGAATAGCAGGAGACAGAGGAAAGAGGTAGTAGACAAAGCTTAATCGCGTAAAACGACCAGCTTTTCCTGCTCATCCAACTTATTCTGCTCCTTGCGGTACTTGCGACCTTTCTTGGCGTATTCGCGGAGACGGCGAATATACGTATTGGCCGCAACGTCAGTTTCGTCCTCGCCGCGGCCGGAGAGAGCCTTCCGGCGACGTTCCTGGCACGCGTTGTAGAGTTTCCAGCACTTGTTACTGTCGAGGTGGTTCAATTCGTAGTCCACGGACCACTTGTTAGGGGATTGGAACTGGATCGGGCGGTCCACGTATTCGCCATCCACGATGTTGCGGACGGTGAGGGCAAAGCCCATGATTTCTTTGCTTGGGGTCGTCTCGGCTTCGTCTTGGGAGGTTTCGGACTTGGTCGTGGCAGAGTCTTCGGCCAGGTCGTCTGCGGGGCTGGAGGACTCGAAGTCGGCGGGGATGTCTTCGGTGTCGTTGGTGGTGGTGGTTGTGTCGTCGTCTTCGTCGGCGCGACCGGGGAGGTCGAGTACGCGGCGCTGGTAGGCGTCGATTTCGGCTTGGTTCTTTGTCTGGATTGCGTGGATTTCCTCGTCGGTGACGGGCTCGGCGAAGATGTACATGTACGGTGGTCCGGCCGTGGAGTCACGGGTCTCGAAGTGGAAGCGGAGAGATTGTTTGGGGAATCGGGCCGTGACCTTGTTGAGAACCTTGTTCCAGAGCTGCAGACTCAGGAGGAACTCCCGGTCTCCCAGAGTGGTGTCGTACTGGCCGTGCAACGCCATGTCTAGTTCGGGCAAGCTGAGATACTGGAATCCAAAGATGCGCTCGATGTTGTGGAAGGCCACGAAGATGCCGTCCATGCGGCCGATGCGCACCTGGAGGGAGTACTTGAGGAGCGCGGCCCGGATCATGTCGTAGTACTCGCGCTCATATGACTCGTATGTGCCGTGGGCTTTCCGGATCTCGTAGCCCAGGCCGTGCTCGAAGTTCTTGGCGTCCATGCGAATGGAGGCCACCGCCCGGGTCTTCAGATCGAACATGCCGGTGCCGGGGAGCCGCGGGTCGTAGGCATCCAGCTGTGAACGCATCAGGAAATCGCCGTAGGTCGAGTAGTGGTAGGCTTCGGGCACTGCCTGCTCCTCTTCGGCGGAGATCTTGTTGGAGCTGGATCGTCGATAGCGCTCGAATTCCTCCTTTGGCATAGTCAAGAGCTTCTCCATCGATTTACCCAGGTTCATGAGAATGTTGGCCGTGTCATGCTCCTTATCGGCATCGATGGCATAGACGCCGTTCTGGTAGCGCAGGAACATGGCCGAGGGAGCTCGCAAGAGCCGCGTGAAGGTCCGCAGCCTTTCCTGAAAGCCCCGGGATACTTGTTGGATGTTGACCTCTCTCCAGTAGGACAGAAGGTAGTGGAAGTGCGACAATACGGATGTCATACTGGAAGAGGAGCCAATATACTTCTTCTTCTCCTTCTGCGCCAGGCCCCGTAACTGCTCGTCCTTGGAGGAGGTGATGTATTCCTTCAGCGCTTCGAAGTCGAATTCCGTGACAGGCATAATGGAGCCAAGGTATGGATCGAAATTGTAGACGCGCGATCGGGGATCCCGAAGATGGTAGACTCCCGGGCTGTATGTGACAGTAGCTGTCAGCTCCGCTTTGTTTTCGATTGTTTTTTTGGGTGAGAGGAAAGCAACTTACTTGAACAGCACTCTGTCCAGACCATAGGCTAGTTGCGGGACTTCGGGAGTCTCGACATCCAGGGCTTTGCGCTAGTTAGTGATCCAGTAGGAGATTTCACAAGTCGCTTGAGGAAGACGCACCTTTCACGGAGTCGCGGTCTGCATTGATCTTTCCGGTGTCCTTTCCGGTGATCGGAACAGGAAGCTGTAGTTTGGTAGACTGTTTGTTGGCCTAGCATGGGAGTTAGACTCTGGCTAGACCAAGTGGGAAGGTGAAGCTGACTGACCGATACCTGCGGTTTGGGAGATGTTGAAGAGTCAGGAGCTGCCTTCTGCTGCGCGCGAGCTTTTTGATCCTTCTTGTCCTTCGGCTCCGGTTGCTTCTTCTCCTCCTTCGAAGTCTCGGTGTCGGCTGCTTGGTTTGCAGGGTCCGTCTTGCGCAGTTTCATCGCTTCTTGCTTGGCGGCCTTTCGGACCGCTTTCTTGTCCGCATTCTGGGGTGACTTGGAGTTTTGCGTCCGAAGGGACTTCTTCACATGGGCGGGTGTCCTTCTATCCGGGAGATTCTGTCCGCAGCAGCAGGCGGTTAGCATTCACATGTTTTCAAGCTTCCGCTTAGTGGCTCTTCATGGGAGCATCTCAATGTCGCATAGGTACCTTCTCTAGTGCCTTCAGCTGCTCTTCAATGGCGACAGTGGAAGAAGTCTCGGTGGCCTGGGAGCGCAACCTGGGCGCGGTGTGGAAGCGGCGAGCCCAGGGCTGGGCTTCGAGGCCGCGAGCTAAGCATGAGAGACAGACATGCTCGCGCAAAGGGTCTGAGACAGACCGCAGGGTGGCCCGATACATTCGGGCCAAATCAACGAGCGACAATGGGAGAAGAGTGCAGAAGCAGCCAAAGAAGGATTTGAGGGATGGAAGGGACGCTGAGAAGGAATGAATTGAGGAATTGATCGAAAAGCTACATTTTTTTTGCCTTCGAAGCTTCGCCGCGCTTCGGCTTTTCTGCCCGTCGGGGTGTGTTCACCGCCCGGGGAGGTTCATCTAATACGCTGTTTGTAATTGGTATGATCAATACGGAAATAAGATACGGGACTGGATACAGCGTGGTATTTGTCTGTCCATACAAACGGGTATCGATAACAAGCAATGTACCCAAGAAGTACCAGGAAGTACCAGCCAGTAATCTCCAAAGTACCCGCGGAGTATAGCTGAGATAGTGCGACTTGACACTTGAGAGAGATCTTCTTGGATATGAGATATGAAGATAAAAAGAATTGAAGTCTCTGTTACTACCTATAATTCTTTCTTACACATTTTAATCTCCGAGATATCCAACTAAATAGCTATTTACTATACTCTGTACCATGCCCACTGCTGTACTCCGAATCCGGGGTCGGAGGTGCAATTGATTGGCCCCGCCGTGCCGCCAATCGATAAAAAAAGTCAAAAAAAAATCCCAGCGACAAAGTTGAGTTTGGGTTTTCTTGTTTGCTCCCATTGCTTCTTTCGCTCCTCATTCTCGCTCTTCTAGCTCTGTGTGCAGTTTGGTCTCGAGGTAAGTAAAGAATTGTTTTACTCTTTGCATGGAATTCTGCACAACTGGACTTGTTCTGGGGCATTTGACCGAAAGAAACCATGAGTCAAAGTATCCCAATGGGGGGTTTCACTTGCCCCTCCATCCACTCCATCTTCTCCTCCACACTCTCTCTTCCTTTCCCTCTCTCTCTCTCCTCCTCCTCTCCTCTCACCACCCTTTAACCGCACATTTGTGCTTCTTCTCTGACCTTATTCTTGTCAATCAGGTCCTCAGAGAACCCTGCACCTTTCACTATGACTACGGAACGGTTGCGCGTTCTCATCGTCGGCAATGGCGGCCGTGAACATGCGCTGGCTTGGAAACTGACCCAGTCTCCCCGCGTCGACATTGTCTACGTCGCTCCCGGCAATGGAGGCACCGCTCAGGGTCCCGACAGCAAGATCCAGAGCGTCAACGTCAAGGGCAAT